TTCAGTTGTTAAAGTTATACAAAATCAGTATTGGATAATGGCTGTTTAATCATGAATCGGTTTTCTGAAAATCAATTGCTAGGATAAAACATACAATGATACATCTGGATTTCAAACCTTGGACTTTACTGCTTAGATTCCTGTTCATCACTTTCAGATCAAACCCAGATAATGATAAGTCAAAGAATGAAAACTTAAACCATCAAACCATCCAGGCACATAAAATTAAGTGATATTGACAAACAGAAGATCCTGCGACATTACTGTATGACATGTCTTATAATGCGAAATGGAAGCACAAGTCAAGCAGACCCCATCAGATAGGAATAATCACTGCACAAGAGGGAGTGGTATTGACAGAGAGCAGTTCTGAGTTTAAGTTGTCTGAGTGTTTGCAGAGTTTATATGCCACTCAAGACTAATTTCCAATGTAAAAGCACCACTCGTTTGGGTTTAAATAGAGCATGCGCTCTTCACCGAAGCATTCAAACGCATCTGTAATCAATTTGAACAGGTTGTAAGTGGAAATTAATCTTCCACAATTATCAAATTATTTATTTATGATGTGATAAGATCTTAATGGCACTCCAATGACTGATTTGATGATTAGATAATTAAGACAAAACATAAATATGAATTTTGAAAACTATACCATACATTGTCTGAGGTGATAATGATTGTGGGTTTGTTGCTTTTAAATAGATAATTAGAGCCGTTTAATGGTTTGAGAGAAAATTCATGGCAGTATGGGTTGGTAAATGATATATATAATATCAATAAAACATAGAGTAGATGTTCTCGTTTACAGTACAGTTTTTCTGCACATTTCAAGTTTCATCTAGGTTGAGAAAGAAGAACTAAAAATTAAAGAGGGTTTTAAATTTTCATTTTACAATTCAATGTTATATAAGCCATCAACAGTTTCTTTGTAGTAAGTTTTTAACCAGCTTCAAATAAGAAGGAGGTTCCATGTTTTGAGTATATGTATATATTATATTTTTTATGTATGTTCATATCACTATGGATAGAAAAATTGTTTCATTATACCAATGAAATATACGAAGGTTTGTCTTACATTTCAAAGCCAAGGTAACTGGCGGTAAGTGTGTGTGGTTTAACTGATGGTAAATGTTGAAAGCTACATAATGTCAGCCTCAGAAACAATTTTGAAATGATCATCAATAAAACACCTATATCCGGACAATCAATGATTGACACTTGGCAAAGATATTTCCGCCTCTAAAACCTTATCTATGATTATCTATCTACCAATATCTATTAACAACAAAAGTTGTCCCAACTTTAGACGTATGAGGATTATACATTACAAAATAAAAAATTGTAACGTTACTTCCACATATTACGATATATAATCTTTATTAATTAGTATTATTTTCCTAACAACCACTATACAACGAACACCAAAACTATAATTAAAAGTATCAAGTTCTTATTGGAAAACTGTAATAGTAACAAAATTCTACGGAAAGCAACGACCGCGCGCAGCGGTCAGTGACTATGCAAATTAACTGACAATGCATTATCTTTATCCAGCAATCAAACCACGGTATAGCCGGCTTATACAATCGGACATATCAAATAAAACTCATACAGATAAACCTTATCATGTTAAACGTTTCGGTTAACCTAAAATTCCTGCGTATAAATGAAAGCAACTCACCTGTGACCCGCAGGGCTGATGCTGAATGAACGGAAGACACCGTACGAAGGCACTAATAGGGTATATCAATGAAAATTGCAATTGCCTTCGTCTTTACAACGCCCGACTCACATTTATTTGATTTTTGACGTTTGACATTCACCGCTCACCGACTGGTATGGAACACACTGCAGCAGAATAAAGATTTATATTATTGTTTTACTTTAGTAAAACTGCTGCATAACCGAAAAATATCAAATTCTAGTATAATTGGTTGAATATACTGTAATGATAAGATTAATTTGATGAGAAAATTTTGTCGACCAATTTAACACAAGTAACTACCTACATAGAAACATCAAATAAAGTATTTGTTAGTTTTTTATAAACAGTAGATTTTTTTTATGCCGAATTTTCTGATAACATTATAAATACTTAATGGCTATATTTAGTCCGGTAGGATTAAATATAGCGATATAACCTTGCTATTTTAAATGATTGTAATAATATGTTTTGTTTATTCTAATTATTTTATTTTGTACATAAGTAAAATCTAAGTAAGATGCATCATTTATTGAACATTATTGGGTATATAGGGGTGTATTATTTCCTTAATCACTTTATCAAATTTATGTATAATATTTTAGTTCATTCCAACAGTGTGGAATGAGCCTAAGAAGTGTTAAGATTATTAATGTAGCAGCCATTTTGGGCCGTTCAAAAACTAACTAATTTAAAGTTCTAATAAAAATTTTGCAAAATAGAATATTGTATATAGAATTCTATCTGCTCTGAGAAAATGTAATATAATTTTACTGTAAAAAAAAATGTAAATATAATTAATGCCTCAGGTGTATTAGATGTTACTCATTTTAGAACGCTAATGAAATGCGTTTTGTTAAAGCAAAGTTTAATAAATGACTCTGAAATAAATATTATGAATCTCTATATGCAGTTATTTGATGAAATTTAAAATATAAGAAGACTTACTGAGCTAACAAGTTTACCACAGGATCTTCTTATGCTTTTTGTCTCTTACTAAGAACTACTTAAATTTGAAACAGAACCTAGTCTCTATTTTTGTGTCAGTGTATGTGCTAAGGTATTTTAGTTTTGTCATATAATTTAATAAAATTAAGGTATCAGGTCCTTTCATTCGTCTGCAGTATTGTGGCCAACTGTGACATATCATCTTCTTCTATACTACAAAAATGGATGCGTGTATTTATGTACGTGCCCCAGCCAGATAATAGCTACCGATCGAGCCAAGGCCCGGCCCTCTCGGGCACCTTCGAATCAGAATGCTAAACGCGTATTGAGTAACAGCCCAAGCCGTGGTCCCCTCTCGGGGACCCTTGAGCCTAGTCGCTCCATGGAGCGTATGCCAAAGCGGCCTCCCAAACCAGTGATAATAATAGCGTGACCGGCCGAGCCGAGACTTCCTCGGGAGCCCTCGAACTTAGCCATAATGCATAATCATAATACGCCGAGGTTCAGGCTAGGCGCCCCTTGCGCCAGGGCACCTCAAGTCCGTCGGATCTGTGAAGGCCCCTAAGGCCTCTAGTGGCTCATCCAGCAAAAAAATAAATAAAAAAGAATTATGTACGCGCGTGAGAAGTTATACTTTTTTTGCATCATTAAAATAATTTTTAATTGCATGCAAATAATTAATTACAATAAAATAATAAAAAGACTGGAAAAGGTTATAAATAATAAAGATCATGAAAACGTCATCTACATTCTTTATTGTGAACTGTAACGGGTGAATGTGATTGAGAATATGCTGCCATCTATAAAAAAATAAGCGGTTTAGCGGGCAGCTTCAAAGGTGTTACTTTTGTGTTACAGTGATGCGCGCACATCTTAAAGTTTCACTATCATCATTTTTTCATAATGCGCCTACCTACCTACCTATAACCTAGGAACTTACGTATCTATATATAAAGTTTAAAAAAACGCCAAGTGTGAGTCGGACTCACGCACGAAGGGTTCGTACCATTATCTATGAAAACGACAAAAAATCATGTCTGTTGTTGTATGTGAAGTCATATCATGTATGTTGAATGTGAGCTCCACTTAAATATTTTTGAAGTTATACTTCTTTAGGCGCGTTATGAAAAAATGACGAGTTATAAATAAAGTGCTGAAAATCTTTATGAGACAATAAATTGTTGAATTAAAAATCAAATTATTTTATTACACATTATTAAAAATATCATGCCATTTATATGTTATTAAGGAAGTATAAGGTGATTAGATAGCATTTAATGATATACTTCTATATATCAAGTACACGTGTAAAAATAAATTTATCAACAAAAACTGTGAACTGATTTTTTTTTATGTGAGAATGGGGCAAGCGAGATGGCGCGATGGCATTTCACTTGATGTTAAGTGATAACCGACATTTGCAGCATCCGTAGGGTTGCAGATACATTCCCACATTTTAAAAAGTGGCCGTGGCTACCTCACTCACCAGGCGAAAGAAACGCAGAGGCGTATAACACTACCACTTCACGCTGGTCTTATGTGAGCTCGTGGTAGTTTCCCATATGGACCTGCCCATTCATGCAACAGAACTGTTGCTTGATCCTACCACAATGTTAGCGTATACACACAAAAGAGCTGGTCGCTTTTCCCATCACAGTTCCCTAAGCGACGGCAGGGTTTTGTTTCCATCTTATATTCCTTCCCTTTTAGATCTTTATTGTATTTTCTGTCACGATGAAAAGTGACCTGACCTTTAGACATAGAGACGGCACTGACCTTACAATCCTTACACACAAAAGCTTTATTTTTTACTGTCGTCTATGTAATTGACCATATAGAATAATATAGTTTTACTTATAAACTAGTGGATTGCTAAACATAAAAAAATGTTTTAAGCATTTAGGAAATATTGATTTATAATTTCTACAAAGAGGATTTTATAATTTTTAGCTAATAATGGCATCAAGCCTAATGTTGTAACATGTAACTCCACTCCAGCTGTTTTCATACCTAAAAAAAAGTATTTTTTTGACAAACAGAGCATCAACATAACGGTTTACGGTTTTAATTTTTTAATGTTTTGTTTTCTATATACTGTCAAAATATGTCATTTTCAAAAAATGACATTTTGATTAGATAATAAAATTAATTCACCAACTACAATTCACTCAATAGCTTGTATGTATATTGATGTAATCTACAATCTACATTTTAGTTTTCAAATTAATTTACGGTAAAAATAAAGTAATATTTACAAAATGGTAAAATAAATAATAACTTAAGATAATTTTTTTAAATCATATTGTATATCATGGATACCTGCCGAATTTGTATGACTAAAAATGTGAACATGCTTCATATATTTGACACTGATGATATCATTAATAAAATTTATTTTTGTACTGGGTTACAGGTATGTACCAATAAAATAGATTGATTTAATAAAAGTAAACAGTGAAGTCGTTTGAACAGTCCATAAAAATTACCAGTTGTTTACAACTTTGTCATTATAAATTACTTAAAAATACAATATTAAATTATATCAAGAAAAGTTTTTTTCCCCAAACAGTATAAACATTGTGTGTTAAGCCAATTTTCGCTTGAGAAAATATGAATGTATTAAATGAAGGGTTTCCCACTATTTCATCAGTGGGTATTATTATTCTATGACATTGTTGTGAAAATAACACAATAACATTATTTTGCCATTTGTGTGTTAATGTATTAGCACTGTTTGGAATTTTTGCCTTAGTAAATATTGTAACTTATTATAGAAATATGATATTGTGCTTGACTTTAGTTTTTTCTAGCTTGCCCCAAAATCAATTTGCAGTGGTGAATGGTATAGTAGATAAAGGTTAAGTTTGCTTCATCCAGTCCAAGTTGGCATTAATTGAAACTGTTAGGTTAGGTATATTAGGAGGAATTAAATAAACAAAAAAACTTTTCCATTTTCAAATCCAATTGGGATGATAATCATCAACTAGTTTTCCACTGATGTCAGTTGGGTTGAGGGTTGATATTTTTTCAGAAAGGTAACATTATTATAAGCACACATGTAAAGTTCCAACATGGGGAAACACATAGTTTTTGAGAAAAATATATTTAAAACTTGTTATTTCTATTAAGAAAGTCCACCATTTTACTCATTTTACTTCAAAAACTCAATACACAGTAATACTGCCAACATGATAAATATAGGTAAAATAATTTATTAAATTTTTTTTAAAAGTTTCTTCTTCTTCTTAAGCGTGTTTTCTCCTACCGTGGCGCATACGCCTCTTCAATTTTCTAACATTCGGTACGACTTTTTGTTTCCCTTGTCCTTGTTTGGGGGAGTAGTCGTCTTTCACGTCCGTAGGTGGTAACTCTTAGATTCCCAACACATGCCTCCTGGTGGTGCTAATTGAAAGACAACCCCTAGCATGGGGCGGCGGTTAAGTAACGAGAATTATGTAGGCTGCCACAAGCCCAGAAAAATGGAAATATTTTCAGAAAGTGTGGAGCTCGCCAATACGTGTGGCTGACGTGGCGAGTATCGAGCTAAATATCTCCATTAATGAACAGTACAACTTGAAAAGTTTAATAGGTCACAAATCCGACACAGAGTAATCCAACTCGATAGATTAGGTTAGAAGGTTAAGCTTAGCCTTCATGGTTATTTTTTTTATGACCACCCAGAATGTCAGTGCACCACTAGTTTAGTGGGTAATAACCCTCTTTGCCCTCTCCCCCCAGCACCCCTCCCGCTCCTTAATTCGATGGACATCAATGGAAAATCGTACCATCAGCTATAATGTTATTGTTATATTTATATGAATATTAATCAAGCACAATAATTCTTAAAAATATGAAATAACTATTTTCCAGCTTAAAAAAGAAGACGGTCTTCCGACAGAGATGTGCAAAGCTTGCTTAGACAACCTAGCTATTGCGCACAATTTCAAAACACTGTGTTTATTAGCAGAGGAAACTTTAAAAAATGTAAATAGCAATATAAACATACAGGAACCAGGAACACTAACAGTTGGTTCGGTGACAGATGATATAAGTAATACAAAGGATGAGTTTACTGAGCCAAATGAGACTTTGGATATATTTGAAGATGCTATTGTAAAATCAGAATCTAATGTAAAGGTTCGGAAGAGTGCTCGGGTCAAGATGAAAGTGAAAAAAGAGTGGTAAATATGATTTGAATACTTATTTATTTATTTAATGATATCAACAACAGTTTGACTCAGTTTGGTTTATATTATTGTGCTAAGACTGTTTTCAAAAAGACTCAAGGTCATATTGTAAATATTGTTTGGCATGTGGTGGTAATGAAATATCAATTGATAATGGCAATTGACTTAAAAAGCTTTGATATGTTAAATCTCTTTTTTCAAACAATAAACAGTTATTTTGGTAAATAACAGCATATTTTTGAAACTTTTTAACAAAATATTAACATCTTACATAAAGCAAAGCCTTTATGTAAGATGTTAATATTTCAATATAATTTAAAAATAATTTTTGTTTAATAGTTCAAATTCTTACTTTTACGGTGAAAGAATTTTGATGCTTTTTTAGGGTTCCGTATCCAAAGGGTAAAACGGGACGCTATTACTAAGGCTCCGCTGTCTGTCTGTCTGTCTATCACCAGGTATCTCGATAACCGTGATAGTTAGACAGTTTAAATTTTCAGAGATGATGTATTTCTGTTGCCGCTATAACAACAAAGTGTGGCTCCCATATAACAGCAATGATTTTCTGCTGTTATTATATATGCGGAACCTTTCGTGCGCGAGTCTGGCCGATTTTTTAAACCAAGTAAAATTACTGAATTAAAAACATAGTATTAGACCTCATTATTGCTAAAATGAGTACCTCGGCATTGCTGAAGCCGCTAATGTATGACTGATGTATAGAAAATAAAACTATTTGTCTGGTTCATCTGTCATCTGGATTTTTATTTCGAAGGAAGATTGACGTAAGGCGGTCGGTAGTGAAAAAATTTAGCCAATACCGTTTACAACATGATTCCCATGTGTGCCACCTCGGTGGGATAAGGGCAGGAGAAAGAAAAAGTTTCCGTTGACTAGTAACTTAACTGAGGCTTCAAGGCAACTCACTATTAAATGTTAATTGAGACATAATAAGAGAAGGTAATTCACCACAACAGTTTTCAATCTTCTAACAGCTTGACTCTTAATACAGATAGGAGAATACTCTCTTCGATTAGTAACGTAACGTAACGTTACAGCCTCTACATGTCCCACTGCGGGGCAAAGGCCTCCTCTATACAGAGGGTATCAGGGCATAGTCCACCACGCGGCCCCACTGCGGATTGGCGGACTTCACATATCTTCGAAATATTTTTTTTTGTTATTATTTCGAAAATATGCAGGTTTCCTCACGATGTTTTCCTTCACCGCGGAGCACGTGATAAGTCAGCACTTGAAGTTAAAAACTTCATTGGTGCCGACACCGGGGATCGAACTCAGGTTGCTCGAGTATATTGAATTAAAGGCGAGCGCCCGGACACTGAGCAATCACGGCTTCGATTAGTGTTTTATTTTTATTTTACAAGGTGGCAACCGAGTTGGCGTTTCATCTGATGTTAAGTGATAACCGCAGCCCAAGGGCATTTGCAACACTCGTACCGCTGCAGGTGCGTTGCTGTCTTATAACAAAGTGTGCATCGGCCTCACACACCAAAAGGCAGAACAGTAACATCTAACATGGTACATACCCGTACAGAGCTGCCCACTCATCCAACACCCTCCCCTCCGCCCTTTCAGCGCTGAGCAAAGCGTTGGTACGGTTCGCGCCAAGCGCGGCCCCTACAACAAGGGCGGGGCGAAGCGCGTCAGCAAGTTCAAGTTCCGCAAGCTGTTCTGCGAGCCGTGCGGCCTCAAGTTCGCCAGCAAGCAGCAGTCGGACGAGCACAAGAGAGACGCTCACAGGGACAGCGAGCGATTCGTCTGCGAGGTGAGTCGAGTTCGAGTTCTGAATCAATCGAATTTGACTCGAATTCGTGGCAGTTCGTACCACTGAATCTGACGCCGGCGCACAATCGAGTAGCGGCTCTAATTGGAGCTAACTAAGATCGGATAATTTTTACGAAAAAAATTAAACAATTAACATTTTATACAAGAAAGATGTTATAACCGTAAACATGGAACGTTTGTCTGTGACGTAATAGGCCAGATACAGTTAACGGATTTGATAACGCACGGTTTTGTTTCTAGTTTCGATTCGGTTCGGGAGTAAGATTTTCAAATCGAGTTAGAATCGAGAGTGAGTTCGAATCGAAAACAAAAACAAATTCGAATCGAATTTGAGGGGTAAAACGGCTGACGACCCGAACAGCAGTGGGCAGTGTACCCGCCCCCTGCGCGAAGCGTTGTGGCTTCGGTCACTAATGGAAAAGTATTGTGCGATGAACATTGTGTTTTACTAGCTGTGCACGCGACTTCGTCCGCGTGGAATTAAAAAAAAAAACTAAAATAAAAGTCGCCCAAGTTGCTCCTTATTACATCAGCTATTTGCCAGTGGAAGTCCCGTCCAAATCGGTCTAGCAGTTTCAGAGATTAGCCGGAACAAACAGACAGAAAGACAGACAGACAAAAACTGTAAAAAATGTTATTTTAGTATATGTACGGTGTATACATAAATATGAATTAAGTAAAAAGCGGTTATTTTAATATTACAAACAGACACTCTTACAATTTTATTTATTTTTATGTATAGATTAGAGTCTGGGCGTTTATATATGTATAATAATGTATTTATGTATAACATACTTAAACATACTTTTCTTATGAAGAAAAGTATGTTTAAGTATGTTCATCAGTTATCTAGTATCCATAGCACAAGCGTTGCTTTGTTTGGGACTAGAGAATATTGTGTAAATATGTCCTGAAATATCATTATCATCAAAATCCTTGTGTCACAGTTTTAGTGTTTATACTACTCCGAAACGGCTTAACGGATTTTGATGAAATTTTACATATGTATATTCAGTAGGTGTGAGAATAGTTTTATAACTAATTTCTATAATTTTTTTGCAATGTATTACACATATAAACCTTCCTCGTGAATCACTCTATCTAGTAAAAAAACCGCATCAAGATCCGTTGCGTAGTTTTAAAGATCTGAGCTTACATAGACAGTCAGGACAGACAGACAGCGGGACGACTTTGTTTTATACTATGTAGTGAAATACTAGGGGTCATAGGCCCGGTGGTGGATGTCCGTTGGGCTTCCCAACAGCAGGTTCCCGGTTCGTTCCAGATCTGCGGCAAGGTGTTCGTGCACCGCGCCTCCCACTACACGCACGTGCGCTCCCACCAGCCGCCGCGGCACGCCTGCGACCGGTGCGACTACCGCACCTGCCAGAAGCACGACCTCGTCAAGCATCTGCGTATACACACGGGCGAGTGTCACACACACACACACACACACACACACACACACACACACACACACACACACACACACACACACACACACACCCACACACACACACACACATACATACACACACACACACACACACACACACACACACACACACACACACATGCATTTACACCCGAACGTTCCCGTTCACGCATTAGCAACTGCTCAACAAAATGTAACGGCCTGTAAATTTAGCTAAGCACCTGCGTAACACACACACACACACACACACGCACGCACGCACGCACGCACGCACGCACGCACGCACGCACGCACGCACGCACGCACGCACGCACGCACGCACGCACGCACGCACGCACGCACGCACGCACGCACGCACGCACGCACGCACGCACGCACGCACGCACGCACGCACGCACGCACGCTCGCACGCACGCACGCACGCACGCTCGCACGCACGCACGCACGCACGCACGCACGCACGCACGCACGCACGCACGCACACACACACACACACACACACACACACACACACACATACACACACACACAACGTTCCCGTTCACGCATTGAAAACTGCTCAGCAAAAAGTAACAGCCTGTATATTTAGCTAAGCACCTGCGTATAAACACGGGCGAGTGTCACACACACGGATATACACACACGTCAATTCACACCCGAACGTTCCGGTTCGCGCATTAACAGCTGCTCGGAAAAAAGTAGCAGCCTGTGTACTTAGCCTGTGTACACGCAGCCAAACATTCTCACCCGAATGTTCCCATTCATGCACACATACAACTGCTTGCCAAAAAGTATCATCCTATATACTTAGTGCTACGCAAAAGCATCGTTCGTACAGAGGGTAGTAGAATAGTCGATAATTTTTTTTTTATTATTTCGAAAACATGCGAAACAAACCTCCTCACGAAGTTTTCCTTCGCCGCTGAACACGTGATAATTGAGCACATAAAATTGAAAATTTTCGTTGCTGCTGGCACCGGTATTTGAACTCGGGTTGCTAGAGTGTATCGATACTAAAGCGAGCACGCAAACACTGAGCTATCACATCTATTTTTTTTAATTATTATCATTTATATCAAGTTACTAAGATTGTAAAAAACAAAAGAGAAAAACACAAATATTACAAATTAACCATTACAAACATAAAATACATCGTACAACAATTTCATCCAAACGCAGCCCACTTACCTTAATCTTTGTATGCAACGTGAAATCCACAACTTATTAATATATACAGGGTGTCGTTACCATCGCGACAATAAATGAACACACGTCTAACGCTACTTGCCAATAATCATAAAAAATATTAACGTTAAACAAAATCCATAATTAAAAAAAAATATTTTTCAAACAAACTAATTAAGTAAAAAAGAAACAAAATTTGTAACATCCTATACAACTCACGCCACAGCGTCGCATTACAAGCCTCTCCTTTTAACAGTATGTTTTGTCTCTTTTAAATTCATTCAACCCATTCATATGCTTTGTGACTTTACAAATGAACTTTACGTTACAATTTTATACGTAAGGGTGTTCTAAAATTGTTTGTTTTGGAAAATTTAATAACTCGGTAAACATTGATGTTCGAAGAATGTAAATGTTTAATACAATTTTAAAAAGTTATCCTCTATATGTGTGTTCATTTATTGTCGCGGTGGTAACGACACGCTGTATACACAACAATAGCTTGGTTCGCGTCTGAATCGAATGAGGGGAATCCACATCGAATTTCTCAGTCTTTCTCAACGCGACGTCGCGCAGGCGTGAAGATGTACCAGTGCGAGTACTGCACCGCCTCCTACCACACCTCGTCCAACCTCACGTGCCACATCCGCCGCTACCACGAGCGCGTGCGCCGCTTCAGCTGTCCGCTCTGCGACCGCGGCTTCTACGATCGCACCAAGCTCAACCGCCACCTGGACTCGCACAACGACATTAAGAGGCAGGTCACGGCTGTGCCGGTGAATTTATGCTGTTGCTTGTATCTTTTATCTTGTATTAACTGATGTTTTTGCTTTCAGTCCCGAGACTATTAAAGCTTCATCGGACGCAGAACCGGTGGGCTAGCCAGAACCCACGGGTTTGGACCCTCCGCTATGGGTAGGGTCGCGCATGTGCTCATGCGTGCGTTTAATTATGGTGTGTCATCTAAGGGCCGTCGAGGTCGCCGGTTCGGACCGAGACCCCGACGGTCGTCGACTGTGCATTAAGCTAATCGGTGGCTGGGAGCGGTGAAAACCGCCCCGGAAGGCCATGCTGTTGCACAAATGGGCAGGCTCGCGTGGTGAAACATCGGAGGACCGGCGCGAATTGGACGTGTTTATACTCTTGCGTTACGTCCGGCGAGTGAGCCTAACGGAGCGCACTCTTTTAAAGGTTTCCGGCCCATCTGCTACACCACATGTGTTGCAGATTATCCCCGTGGTCATAAAAACATATAATAATAATAATAAAATATCTTTATTCACATAAACGCTTGCGCGTTCTTATGAAACGTCAAAATTTTACAAAGAAATTAACACGTTCGTAAGTTACCACCGGTTCGGGAAACAGTTTCTGTTGAGAAGGAACCGGCAAGAAACCCAACAGTTGCTCTTTTTAAAAAAATCAGTTTACAAAACAATAGTACAGGTACAATAGTCTTGTTTTAGCCTACGTGAGTATCAACAGTATTAACCCCACACATTGGCGTCGTCAAGATATTCGGCAATAGTATAGATTTTATACGATATAAATTTTATACGTTAAGAGGCAGGTCACCATTGTCTTGGTAAATTTCTGCTGCTGCGAAATGGGCAGGCTCGCGTCGGGAAGTATCACGGCGCCACGGAAGACTGGCGTGAAGTTGAAGTGTTACTCTTTTACGTTTCGTTTCGCGAGTGAGGTTACCGAGGCGCACTCTTTCTAAGGTTTTCTCAAGTTTTGTGGATTACTTTGCGCGCATAGAAAAGCGTATAAGTGAACACGTGATAAAATATTTTGCCAGGAACTTTTATATTTAACTTGTTACATCCGCATGGATATAGGCAATTATCGAGATAAACGGATATATTTTTTTTTTCGTTTCGCTTGTTTAGGCTTCTCCTTAATGACGCTTTCTCAGGTTCGAGTGTGACGTGTGTCACGCTTGCTTCACTCGCCGCTGCTACTGGAAGAAGCACATGCAGAGGGAGCACAACATCTCGGTGCCGCCGCAGAGGCCGGGCAGGCAAAAGACCAACAGGCAGGTGGGGGAGTTAACCGACAGTGCGGTCGTCCAGGCAGTGACTGTGACGTAAGCTGCGGCCGTTTTATGAGCCATGGCCGTGGTATGAGTTGTGGTCGTAATATGAGCTGTAGTCGTAATGTGAGCTGAGGTCGTAATATGAGCTATGGTCGTAATTTGAGCTGTGGTCGTAATATGAGCTGTAAACATGAGCTGTGGTCGTTGTGGTCGTTATATGAGCTGTGGTCGTAATATGCGCTGTGGTCGTAATATGAGCCGTGGTCTTGACGTAAGTCAATCGTGGTCGTGCTACGCTTGGTGTCGCACAGATTTTGGTGGTCCCCGAGATTACATCATATGCATAAATTACTGGTTGGTCATTTTATATATGTAGTTAAACATACTTGATACTGTGGTCTTATCTTTAATTTGGTTGTGTATATATTTTATTCGGGTCCAAGAAATGTATATTTTGTACAGTTCATTTTGAAGAGATATTAAGCTTTTAATATCAATAGATAAGGTTGGTTACACATTGAAAACGATACACACAGCCTCGAAATTACTTTTACTGGAATCGTTACTATTTTCCCATGTAAGAATAGATAATTGAGTATTAATTAATAATGTATACTTTATTAATAAGGTAAGGTTATTACCAACATTTATTTTTAACCACGCCCTGGGACCAATGTTCATAAAAAATTTATATGTTAAAAACTGCCTTACCTTCAAAAGCAATGCAAATCAATGTTGTAATATAGTTTATAAGTATACTTATACATATTTATGATTTCTTATTTTTACTTTTGTGTACACAAAACGTGATATGATTTATAATTATTATAATATTTATTTAGATGATTCGGTGGCGCCGTTGCCGAGCTAATTGCTTCGGCGTCGGGGGTCGTGGGTTCGATTCCCACACGGGACGACTATTTGTGTGACCCACAGATAATTTGCATCTGGGTGGTTTATCCCCGTGATTTTTTTTTGTAAAAACGTCCTTAAAGTTAAAAGAAAAAAATAAAGGATAAAGTTATCCAGTCAAAAAATACATAATATTTATTTAAAGTCTTATTTAGTCATGTAATAATAATAATCGAACATAATCGAATCGAATAATAATCGATGTTTATACATTAAAATGAAGTGATTGTAAAAATTTAAAACTTTTAAAACCAGTTGTAAAGTAAGGAGAAGCTTTGAAATTTAATAATTTCGAAAATACCTTGTATTGTCCACTTTGTGAGAACTGATGTATTTTGCGGTAATCCAAGGCAAAGTGAATTTTACAAAAACATAAAGAAATGGAAAAATACAGAGAAAAATCTTTTTAAATTTATATACCTTTGTTTTAGTAATAATATCTAGTTCCGCTAGCGATTCCTATCGCAAGACTAAAAACGAATATAGACCGGGGTCTTGAAAATTATATCTTAATATACATTAAGAGCTGTTAAGTATTATATTTATTTTTAAAATCTTAAAACAGAGCTTTAGCAGAACTTTTACAATCGTTGTCTAAAAAGGGAAGCAATAAGAATATAGTCTATGTAAACAATATTATTATTAACATGTTTACTCGTAGGTGTTGTATTAATTATATCTATGATGTATTGTGAAATAAAATATTATTATTTAATCTGAGCATTTTTATTTTTATTAAGGTAATAAGGTAAGGTAGGACATTTTTGTCCTAGTTCGTTTTATTTAAAATATCCCTAACCTTTTTCAACATAGTTTTCCAAATGACATAAACGATTTAGTCTATGGTTCTGTATTTGATATTTACGCATGTGTTGTATAAACAAATCGGATTAACTTTATTAAAATATGGTTAAATAAAAAACGTTGGGTACTGTGCATTTACTTTTAAAAATATTTTTCGTAAATAATTGTCGTGATAACAACGACCCAGGATGTGTTAGGAATAGCGGAGACCGAAATTCGTTATAATTTTGGGAATGGTCAGAATTGGACAATAATTTATATCCTTTCAAACATTTTTCTGAGGCTATTTAGCAATAAGTAGATAGAGGTCCCATAACTCGTTATAGTTAGTAGGTGAAAAAGCACTACAGGAAATTAACGTCACTCGAAGTATGCAAAAGCTTTTGTTAGTGTTTAAGGTTTACTACCTTAAATACCAAATATCTACTAAAATCTGTAGATTAGCTTTACTTCGTCGTATAATAACGTCGTACGATTAGTGAAGTAGAGAGGCTCAGTTGTCTAGCAGCTTTGAGGAAGCTATAGAACTCGAGTACTTAAACTACAGCACGAAGGTAGCCCATGATAGAAGACGACTTAAGAAGCTGAAACGTCTGAATGTGGGAAAGTTCCAGATGAAGTTCTTATTGAAATAATTAAAGATAATACGAAAGCTGTAGTAAGAAAACACGGAGACCGATTATAAGAGCTATATGCGAATAAGAATTGTCGAGGTAAGCTGGAAGTTACCACGCTATAGAAGAAACAAGCAAAAGACAAAGAAAGACAGCTTAATTTTCCCATCGTAAGTAAACTGAGAGATGACGAAAATTGGAGTAAAACAATACACGGAGTTCGACGAGAAGAGCTGGATGCCGATGGGAGTTGACAAAGGAAGATGGAATGTACGATTCAGCACGACAAAAGAACCAAACGAGAGAGAATGAAATAGGAGATCATAGAACTTTCCCTGGAGTGAGATAAAGCTAGATTTAGACTAAACAAGTAGGGCGATGACAAGTGTCGTTGCTGATGGGAGTTGACGAGGAATGCTAGAGTGAGACAAAGTTGGATTTAGACTGAACAAGTAGGGCGATGAGAAGAGCTTTTGCTGGGAGCTACGAGGAATTCTGGAGTGAGACAAGGCTGGATTTAGACAATACAATTAGGGCGATGACAAGAGCTGTGGCTGATGGGAGTTGACGAGGAATGCTAGAGTGAGACAAAGCTAGATTTAGACAGCACAATTAGGACGATGACAAGAGTCGTTGCTGATGGGAGTTGACGAGGAATGCTAGAGTGAGATAAAGCTAGATTTAGACAACACAAGTAGAGCGATGAGAAGAGTTGCTGCTGATGGGAGCTGACGAGGAATGCTAGAGTGAGACAAAGCTGGATTTAGACGACACAAGTCGGGCGATGACAAGAGCTGTTGCTGATGGGAGCTGACGAGGAATTCTGGAGTGAGACAAAGCTGGATTTAGACGACACAAGTCGGGCGATGACAAGAGTCGTTGCTGAGGGGAGTTGACGAGGAATGCTAGAGTGAGACCTGACGAGGAAGGCTAGAGTGAGACAAAGCTGGATTTAGACGACACAAGTCGGGCGATGACAAGAGCTGTTGCTGATGGGAGTTGACGATGAATGCTAGAGTTTGTTGCTGATGGGAGTTGACGATGAATGCTAGAGTGAGACAAAGCTGGATTTAGACGACACAAGTCGGGCGATGACAAGAGCTGTTGCTGATGGGAGCTGACGAGGAATTCTGGAGTGAGACAAAGCTGGATTTAGACGACACAAGTCGGGCGATGACAAGAGCTGTTGCTGATGGGAGTTGACGATGAATGCTAGAGTGAGACAAAGCTGGATTTAGACGACACAAGACGGGCGATGACAAGAGCTGTTGCTGATGGGAGTTGACGAGGAATGCTAGAGTGAGACAAAGCTGGATTTAGACGACACAAGACGGGCGATGACAAGAGCTGTTGCTGATGGGAGCTGACGAGGAATGCTAGAGTGAGACAAAGCTGGATTTAGACGACACAAGTCGGGCGATGACAAGAGTCATTACTGATGGGAGTTGACGAGGAATGCTAGAGTGAGACAAAGCTGTATTTAGACAACATAATTAGGGAGATGAGAAGAGTTGGTTGTAATGGGAGTTGACGAGGAATGCTGGAGTGGGACGACGCGGTTTAGTCCGCCCTGAAGCAGCGGTCAGAGCAGCGCTTGAGGCAGTCGGGGTCGTTGCGGCAGTGGGCGCGGCAGCTCGCCTGGCAACGGGTCACTGTGCGCACGTTGCTGCGCGGGAGCTTCTCCTCGAACATCATGCTGTGGACGGCATATACTCAAATTCAAATATCTATATTCAATATACACGGTGATTTTATAGACGACGGACATATTAATAGAGCATATGCAGAATTTGATTCAAGTCTGAGTGTGGTACGTACGTACCTTACCTTACGTACGTACCTACGTAAAATTTTCAAACATTATGGACACCCTATTAGAGATTCCTGCCTTACCGTCTCAATACAATAACCTATTCACGAGCACTAAAACTGTTCACTGAACGCCGAATTACTAAACCGCTTAACAATAGGGTGATCACTCTAAAAGGGAAACAAACTATGTTTGAATTGATATTTCTGGTTCTGGTTATTTCTTGTCAAAGTAAAATATTAATAGTTCTTTTTGAATTATGGAATGCTTAATTAACATATGTCAAAGTATGTACTTCATCTAAAAATCACACTGTATAGAGAAGCATATTTTTTTAAATTTTCAGGACACATTTTTACACAAAGTCTTCTAGTCCAAAACTAAGCAACGCTTTTACTATGGTACTAGATAACTGATAAACATATTTAAACGTACACTTCTTTTGTAAATAGATACATATTATAAATATATCAACACCCAGACACTGGAAACGCACTATGTTCATCACACAATATTTTTCCAGTAGTGGGGATCGAACACACCCTCCGGCGCAAAGGCAGGGTCATTACCCACTACGCCAATCGGATCGTCGTTCAATATAGAAGCATTAAACTTACATTATGGAATGTCAAAAAACACTATTATATGGTTCGACTTCCAATCGTGATCATTTTCATCGGATGGTGTAAACTGGCTGACCCGATTAGTCCAATTGATAGTGGACCGGTCTCTTGTGCCAGAGCGTGTGAGTCCGATCCCTGAACATTAGGATGTACTTAGGGTATTAGGGCACAGTCCACCACGCGCATGCGTGGGATCACGTAAACTGAACCTACCTAACCTAACTCACCTGTCTATGAACGGCACGGACGTGCACGTGGCCGCGTCGCAGTGCAGCACCGGGGGCGCTACGGCCGCCATCAGGGAGCCATCCTCGCCCACCACGTAAGGCACGTGGTCCAAGTAAACGTTGTCGAAGAGGCACGCCCGCTTCATGTACTCCTCGCTGTGCGTGAACATCGTGGGCGGGATGCCTGCAGCGCGATCGATCATCAGCCGATTCGACAACGAATTTCAGCTGGGGGAGAGGGACAGGGAGAGGAGAAAATGGAAGTTGGAAGTGAGATAGAAGATTTAAGAGACGGCGGGGTGCCCGCAGCGCAGTCGATCATCAGCCGATTCGGCGATTGAAATCAGCCGGTGTGGGAGAGGAGCAGGGAGAGGAGAAATGGAGGCGGGAAGTGAAATAGAAGATATAGGGAGACGGTGGGATGCCTTCAGCATGATAGGTCATCAGCCGATTCGGCGACGGATGTCAAACGGTGGGGGAGAGGGGCAAGGAGAGGAGAAATGGAAGTAGGAAGTGAAATAGAAGGTATAATGGATCGGTACGATGCCTTCAGCGATTAACCGTCAGCCGATTCGGCGACGGATTTCAGCCGGCGTGGGAGAGGGACAGGGAGAGGAAAATGGAAGCGGAAAGTGAAATAGAAGATGTAATGAGATTATGTTTCCCTGATGCCTCACCTACGGTGTAGTAGCGCGTGTTGCACATGTGCTCCTGTATCAGCTCGGAGCGGTTTCCGAACCACCCGACCAGCCACTTGAGGTCCTCGAACTTGGTGATCTCGTCGTTGATCACCTTCCTTGTCAGCCGGAGGTATTCGACGTCCGCCTCTATCACCGACTCGTCCTTGTCTTCACCGTAGCTGTACGATGGAATGCTTCCGTGAGTTTTAAACACGTTTTTCGCTACGAACTTGTTTGTGTCTGTGTATTACATATTTGTAATTTGCATTTATATGCATGAGAAAATTATGTTTAGTTACCCAGTAACCATAGCCCACCTCCTCCTCTGTACAGAGGGTGAAAAATTTATTTTTATTTTTTCCAAAATATCCAGGTTTTCTCACCATGTTTTCATTCACCGCTGAGCATGTGATAAGTTAGCATTAAAAATTAAAAATTTCATTGGTGCCGGCACCGGGGATCGAACTCAGGTTGCATATTGAATTAAAGGCGAGCGCCCGGACGAAGAGCTATCACGCTATGTAACAATGTTAGCATATTCTTACACCGCAATTTGAGGGATATTTTATTCTTAAATTTACTTTTTTTTTATTTGAAAAGTCATCAAGCGTTCGGATGGTTCGCCTGATGCTAAGTGAATACCGGCGCCCGTGGACATCTACATCATCCGATGCCTTGCAGATGCGTTGACAACTTTTGCGCTATGGCAAAAGTGATTACTACCCAGTTACCACATTACATTCACCAGATAAAACGCAGAAGTGTAACACTTCCACCCCACGCGGGTCTTCTGTGAGGCCGTGGTAGGTCCCCTGACGCGCCTGCCCATTCTAGCAACAGCACAGCCTTTTGCGTGGTTTTATCCCAAAAATAAAATAATCTGGGAAAGAACTTCGCTGGCTAAGTGGCGGTTAAAATCGTATAAGAGCGTTCTACATACTTCCTGTACTGCATTTTAAGTATGGCCTCGGCCATATGAATCCGGAATATGACACCAGGCCTCAGATGGGCCTGGTACAAATCCTTGGGCATCTCCACGAATGTCGTCTCCCATTCCTGCAAGGAGTGATTTTTCTTGGCGTATTTTTTTGTTTTGGTCTAAAATGATATGTTACGCTGAATCCGAGTCTTAAAATCAGTCTTAAAATCGCATCAGAATCATCATGCAGTTGCGTCGCCAACCTTTAATTAAACGGGCATCAGCTACCTCACTGACGAGACGAAATGCAGAGGCATATTACTTCCACTACGCGCCTGTCTTCTGCGAAGTCACAATATTTTCCCGGACGAGCTTGGACCGAATAAGAGTCCAACCACTTTTGTCACATTAATACAGAATTTCCCTTCATACCTAACCCTTCCTCTTATTCCCCGAGTTGAGGTCGGCATAACATGTGAATCACGTTGTCAATGGAATTGGCTAGGTTTTTTACGGCCGGCCACCTATCTGACGTCAACCGTGCTTGGGAATAAATACCCAAATCCGGAACAAATATCTGCGGGTCACACAAGTAATGGAAATAGAATCTACGATTCCCGATAGATAGACATCAGATAATACAGATAAGGAAAATAAAACTGGACTAGAGTCACGCGACTACCTTCCTGAGTAAATGGCCAGATTCGAGTGGTGGTACCATTCAAGAAATATTTACTACTTTTTATTCTTATAATATAAATTTTTCAATTTGTAATTTGATATATTTTGGAACCTAGAATCTTTGTGGTATCAGTGTGTGTGTTACCATATGTTTTCCCAGATTTTCATTTTTATTAAAAATTTATTTTTTTTATGTAAATTTAAATTTGGAATGTAAGGATAGCTTCCAAAATTTTAAGTAAACTGTGTGTGTGTGCTATAGAAAAATATTGTATCTTCAAGAGGAGAAATATATAAAGTTTTGAAAAATACTTTATTATTCTTTCTTTATACTTAATTTTTCTCTACTTGAAAATCTCTCTTTCTATGTGATACTTTATTTTTCTCAAAAACACTTAGGAACCCTATCTATGACCGTGAGCGGATTCAGCGTCAGGCAGACTGCGTCTTGACTACAGCCTCCAATAAAAAGGGAAGCGTGCGGGAGCATTCAAAAACGCACCTTAACCGGTGGCTCGTACGTCTCAAAGCTGGGCTTGTCCTTCTTGCCCTTGTAGCGTTTGCGTTTCGCGCGCTGCTGTTTAGAGTCCCAGGAGTCGGCGCGCCGCGCAACCGGCGCGCCCGGCGTCGTCGTGTTCTTCGCCTTGCAATTTAGCAGAGGGTTAAGATTTTTTATCTAAGCTTTAAGCACAGAGAAACGAAAAACAAATCCTACGACATTCTATATTAAGAGTTAGGCTTTTAAGTTTTTTTAACATGTCATATTTTCATCAATTAATATCTGTATTCAGATCAAAATTATCGTCTGCCGCCATCGTGAGTATAAACATATTGAAATTTTCAAGTTTATATCTCATTTTGAATTCAATGTTGTCTATAGAAATATAAATAATATTGATTTGATTTGATTTGATTTGATTTGATATCAGTTAAGGATGAAAGCGACTTGTAAATGAAAATTAACGCGCAGTTTCTCTGCCTATTTTGTTTGCAGTTTCTCTGGGAATGTGGTTAACAATGAACCGTAGCTTTGTTACTCTCTGTTCCTATATGCGTCAGTGATAAAATTCGCATGGACCGGCGAACAACTTGTGCACGAGGCATAAGTACTGAAGGAAAAGTTCTCGCCTGCCCACTTTCAAGCGACCACTCGGGTTGGCCTGGGCGGCCAATACAGGGAGTATTGGCCGCCCAGGCCGCTTGCTTTCTATGCCCCGTAGAGACGTAAAACAACTAGCATAGAAAGCTTGTTTTACGTTCGGCTAGCACTGTTTTCTAATTTTGAGAGCGTCGATGATGCTCTCCCAGGTGACGATATAATTAAAACAACTATCAGTGTTGCCAGTCGGTATACCTCGTTAGATTCCGTCGTAGTAGGTGGACGAGGTCGATTGCGCCGGCGACCTCCCCTCCGCTTCTGAAACGAATAATATATTTACGAGAAGGGAAGAATTATAGGCTTTCTTTTAACTTTTCTTTAACCACCAAATGCACCGCTTCTGGTGCTCCTCCTTTAAAGAGTTTTTTTCCAATATAAAGTTAACGAAATAGTACCGCGAATAAAAAGTGATTTACATAAAATAAAAAATAAAAAAATTAAAACTCATTTTGGCGCCAAAGGTTTGGCATTTTGATTTCTTATAATTTTAATGTACACAATGAAACTCTCACTATAAAGATGAACCTAATTATTATGATGAATATTATTCTTTAAAATCAGTTCAGAAGTTAAGTAGCGGGGTAACATACGGACGGGATACATACAGTTCCAGTATGTCACAGTCGATTAATTAGGATAATAATGAATATGTGTATATAAATTATTAGTTTAACTGGGTGTTCCTTTTCATTTCTTTTTAAGTACAAAAATAAAGGCAGGCGTTGAATGAAAAAACTCCTTTGAAGAATTGTTTTATTCTTCGTCTTATTGTGTGACACTTTTCCGGCCTGTCCGAAGAAGTAAGTATTAACTATATCATTGACTGTTTTCACCTCCATCATTGGCAAGGATCGCTTTACATTCTATCCGACACATTAAATCCTGTACAGTACTTGACATTCGTAATTAAAAAAACAACAGAACTTAAGACCTGCCAATTGCTACATTTCGAAAGTAATCTAATTTTCTTCTGTCGGAATACATGGAAGGATGCAACATTCTTTTAAAGAAAAAAAAAGTGTTTAATGTTTTAATATAAATCATTAAATTTGACAAATTTTAATAATTTGCTGGACTAAATTTTAATTTGGCGCTGGGGCCCAAGTTGATTTTTTTTTTCATTTAAAAAACATTGCACTTACTTTAGGATACCATTATCCTGTGTTTTAAGGACGTTTTACATACATAAATTTCGCGCGGACATACACCCAGTTGCGAAACAACTACCTGTGGGTCACACAAATCGTTGTCCCGTGTGGGGATCGAAACCTCGACCCCCGACACCGAAGCCAATACTTTTGCAATTGCACCATGGAGTCATCTAATTGCGACATTTATCGGCATATTCCTGAGAAATATTTTCCGTCTGAAATATAAGGAACCGGTACCTACTAGCACCGGTTTATAAGAGTGCAACAGCTCATTGATATTCAGGAGAAACAGGGAAGGGACTAGACACCAGCCATTACAGGTTTGGGGTACAGTAAACAGTGGTCTTGATATTGGAATCCACACAAAAATTGGTGACCCAATTTCATAATTTCTCAGGTAGCCCATATAAAATGATGGTAAGAAGTGATTTGTGTGATCGAAGACTTTTCGTAAGCCCAATGTAACCATCAACGCTTGCCCCGCTTCCAGGTACATATTGAGCTGACATATAATGTACGTTAATGTAAAGACTTCGATATTGCATCGTTGCATGTCATCGCCTGTGGTCTAGCCGATATAGGATTTTTCCCTTTACATATTAAAACAACATGATGGTTCTGAACGGTTTATTGAGTTTAAAGCGAGAGCTCACTCCTCAATGTCCTTCGGCTCGGTGATGGAGTCCACGAAGACGATGGAGTTGCACTCGGCCGCGTCGCACTGCAGCAGCGGCGGTACCTCCACCGGGGTCACGGTGTACTCGTCCCCGATCACGTACGGGTTGCCATCTATCCAGAGCGCGTCGAACAGGCAATATATGTGCACCTTGATGCTCATGTAGCTGATGAACTTGTATATCCTGCCGCCGCACTCGCCCAGGTGCTCCTTTATGCTCCTGTCCGTCTTGTAAACCAGCAGCAGGTTGTGGAACTTCGCTATCTCGTCCGTCACCGCCTTCTTTATCAGGTTCGTGTAGATTATGTCCGCCTCGATGTGCCGCTCGGGGTCCTCGTACATGCGCTGCTTGATTCGCAGTATCGCGTCTGACATGCGCACGCGGAATATCACGCCGGGGTTCATCTGGTCGGGAAGGATGCTCGGCCGCCTGGTGGTGGTGGTGAACTCGATGGGGCGGTCCTTGACCGGCTCGGGGTAGAGGTAGTGGTGCGGCCGCTCGCGGAGCCTCGGCCCGCCGGAGCCGCTGCCGAAGCTCCCCGCGTTCTGCGATCAGAAAATCACCATGCCGTTGGGTTCCGTGCGTTGCGGCGATGTCTGCCTAGCGGGGAGGTCGCCGCGTACTGCTTTACCGACGCACGGAGCCAGCTGTCTCCCATATCTCGCGCCGAACGGGAGTGGGACCAGTGGGTGGTCTTGGCATACTGCTTTATCGACGGCTGTCTCACGGGGATGTCGTGTTTCGAAGTGGAACATTCTTACAGCACTGCTTTACCGACGCGCACTGCTGTCTGGTGTGCTTGTTAAGACGCGCACTGCTTGTCTGTTTTAAGACTCAAAGTAGAACTGCCATCGGCTATTTCGTTACCGTATTTTTATTTTTAATTTTCTCAATCCTGACTTTGTTCAAGATCTTACAAAAGTGATCCGCTGCCGATTGGCAAAGTTAAACTAGTATAGGCTACAACCTGTTCACCCTCTACTAACTATTAATAATATATATATGTACATGTATGATAAAACTCAATATTTATATATGCGGACACTGTAAGATGGTCTTGCGATCAATAAGGTCGTATATATGTATATGTACAAGTATGTTATAAAACTCCTTTTATTTTATACATGCGGACACTGAATGTCTTGAAGAATGGTCTTGCGATTTCTTAAATGCAAGGTCGTTCACGTATCGCACATGCTCTCATTTTTGTTTTAAGCATAATATTATATACAAATAAAGGGTAGATATAACATAAGCCGAAAATGAGCCATTCAAATTGCGCCATTTGATGTAATTTCACTTCTGTTCGGTCCGATTCTATCTATGCCTAAAGTACTCTTTCCATATCATACGTTCTATAAAATCTGTCACGTTCACTTATATACGAGTATCTCATATAATAATGTAAAGCGGAACAATATTTAAACGAGCGTCATCTTTATCAGCACTTTTTTTTAAAAGAAAAAAAATAAATATCGTTTTAGTATTTTATTTTACCACGAACGTCAGATAAACCACAAACACAAAGAAAAAATATAAAACTGGGAACTCAGAAATCATCGCCGAAATGCGCTTAACAACTGATGAAAAATTTGACAGTTGCAATACGTCACCGACTATAATTTTATATATGACTATAAAATTATAGTCGGCATACATAGGGACAGACAGACAGCGGGACGACTTTGTTTCATACTATGTAGTGATAATATAATTATTGATTATTAGTATTATGATAAAGTAATATAATTATTGATTATTAGTATTTTATAAATTAGATAATTAAAATATAGTACCTGGAGTACTGTTTTTTTTTGGTAAATCGTGTATTTTGGAAATTACATTTAGATACAAATTACTAAGTAATGAAATATGGATAATATGTTTCGATCTTACCGACGTAATATAAGAAAATATGAACTGGTGTTTTTCACAAAAGAAAGAACTTTAAAAAAAAGGGAAAAAAATAACAAATCGACAAAAAATAACAGATAAAGAAAGCAATTATCTGGAATCGAAAAAAAAGTAAAAAAAGTGTGTAAATGATCGTGATACGAACCACGGCCTTCTGTTTCGTGGCTGTTTGTTAGCGGCCGCCCTATTACCGACCGAGCTATTATAACATTTTTTTTTCGGTGAAATTTACCGTCGTATTCGAATAATATTTTTCATTCCCTGAAAAGTGGGATAAAACGACATTTTATAAAAATGAAACCTAGTCAGATCGATTTTTCGCCCCCGAATCTACGCACATACTAAATTTCATGAAAATCGCTGGAGCCGTTTCCGAGATTCCAATTATATATATATATATATTGAATTGCTCGTTTAAAGGATAAGAATAAGGCTAAATATAAAAAGCTTAAGGCTTATAAGGTTGTCAACGCATCTGCAACCCTCGGCTGTAGCAGACCAGGTGAACCACCTGCTCGCTTGGCTATTTTTCACATTAAAAGAAATAATAAAAGTTCAACACGAATAAACAATCCTCAACTTGGAAAATACAATTGTCTGATTCTATTCAAGTTATGCTGGCATTGGATTCAGTGAGAAGAGATTTGTTGGTCTTACCTTGGCTTTTCGTTTCAGTCTGTTATGGTCCCGTTCCTCGTCCTTTCCCTCCAGGAATTCATCCAGGGCCGGCCAGTCGTAAGGAACCCCGGAGTAGTCCGGCCTCTCCGGTATAACTTCGGCGTCTCCCTGGTAAATTATATTGTTACGATGTGCAAAACGTTTATTTAATTTAGTTTCACATATTTTTAGGGTTCTGTACCCAAAGGGTAAAACGGGACCCTATTACTAAGATTCCGCTGTCTGCCTGTCTGTCAGCCTGACACCAGGCTTGTATCTCATGAACCGTGATAGTAAGACAGTCGAAATTTTCACAGATGATATAATTATTTCTGTTACCGCTTAACAACAACCGCTATAACGCACTTGGCTGTTTTTTTTGTCATCGACTTATTACAGCATGCATTCTTAGGTGGTGATCCTTGAGGACACGCATAGCAATTGGAAGGAAAGAATGTGGTATGTGGTGGGCAATTGTTCGTATTTTGTAACAAGGAAATTTAGAATGCGCACAGACAATGCAACGTCATAATTACTACATACATTGTGCAGACAATGTATGTAGTAATATGACGGTATGGCCACGCAACAGTCTCAATTGCGGGGCGAATGCGCAGGTCCGTCCGGGAAGTACCATGACCTCACAGAAGACCAGCATGAAGTGGAAGTGTTATGGTTCTGCGTTTCGTCTGGTAAGTATGGTTTCCGGGGCCCGCTTTATTAATAAGTGGCAACGCATCTGCAACTCTACGGGTGTTGCAAATGTCAATAGGCGGCGGCTAATCTCACTTAACAAAATGTCACTTAAAATCAGCTGGCCATCTTCTCACATAAAAATTAACACAATCATATAGTGTGCTTCCTATACAGCACACAAACTTACTCAAATGACATTTCACAATAACTATTAGAAAACTAGAGAACTTTTGCTATGGAAAGAATAGGTTAGTTATATTACCTTCTGGTGGGGGATCTTTTTTGGCGACATCATGTTGACAGGCTGCTCGTAAATATCGTCCTTTAACTGAAGAAAAAAACAAAAGTATATGAAGGCCCAAGAGCCGTGATAGCTCAGTGTCCGGGCGCTCGCCTTTAATTCAATATACTCGAGCAACCTGAGTTCGATCCCCGGTGCCGGCACCAATGAAGTTTTTAACTTTAAGTGCTGACCTATCACGTGCTCCGCGGTGAAGGAAAACATCGTGAGGAAACCTGCATATTTTCGAAATAATTACAAAAAAAATTATTTCGAAGATATGTGAAGTCCGCCAATCCGCAGTGGTGCCAGGTATCAGGGCATAGTCCACCACGCAGTGGTGATACCCTCTGTATAGAGGAGGCCTTACTACAGGAGTACAGGCACTATAAAAGTATACACAGTATAGAGGATATGTATACAGTATACACTGTATACCTCTGTATAGAGGAGGCCTTACTACAGGAGTACAGGCCTATATATGTACCACTGCTGAGCAGTGGTACATATGGCTCCGTACGTGAAGGATTTCATCATCATCTTTCTAGTCCCAAACTTAACAAATAGTACTATGGATATTGGTAACTAAAAAAAACATTTTTTTTTTATTTACCAATATCCGATTTTCAGATTTATGAACAAACTACCAGACAATAGAAAAACACTATGTTTTTCATGAAACGATTTACCACTTGAATAATTTTCAAAAACAAAAAAATTGTTTTTGAAAATGTTTCAAGTGGTAAATCAACATGGCATCTTGCGCCAGAGGGTGTGGGTTCGATCCCCACTACTGGAAAAATATTGTGCGGTGAACATACTGTTTTTCCAGTGTATGGTTGTTTATATAATATATTTAATATGAATTTATTTACAAAAGAAAAGTATGTTCAAGCATGTTTATCAGTTATCTAGTATCCATAGTACAAGTGTTGCTTATTTTGGGACTTGGAAACTTTGTGTAAAAATTTGGCCTGAAAATATTTGTTTAGTTATTTCATTAGAATTACTTTGATTTCATGACAATACCTAGCCGCCTATTTAGCCGGTCGGTTATTCAATTCAACCACTTACATTGGGGTAGTTGAAGAGAACACCGCCATCTGGATTAGCCCCCAAGTAGCCAAGCCACGACAACTGTGAAAAAAAAAGTCCGGGAAGCCTTTAAGAAGCTTTATCATGTACTAGCTTTATCATGTATATAAATTATAGCTGTTATTATATTATATGTTTTATTCTGATGTATAAGATATATTATTGTAAAGTTTCATTAAAATCCATTCAGTAGTATTTGCGTGAAAGAGTAACAAACATCAATCCATACATACAAACTTTCGCGTTTATAATATTAGTGAGGATATGTTATTAGTAAGGATTTTACTAAATGTGTATTATGTCAGAAATACAATGAAAAATTGTATAAAAGTAGATTATTTTTGTGTAAGAATGTGGCAGGTGAGTTGATGGTTCACATTATGTTACGTGATAACCGCATCAGGGGTATCTGGGCATCAGGGTCTGGGTTCACGCCTTGTCATGGCGGAAGGGCTTAGTAGCCGTGGTTTGGTCACCCACGGTGAAGCCAAGAGGAGCCCACACTGGCCTGGACTGTGGTTTAACGCCGGCTGGGGAGGGCCGCTTTACGTGGGCTCTTTAAGCCCACTCTGGATGCGTGCTTGAGGGTGCGGGGGGTGGTTCGAGGGCGGTAGAGAAGGAGCCACTATTTATTTATTTATTTAAAATTTATTGTTTACACCTCAAGGCTAAAAAAAGGCAAACCTAATGCTAATAAGCATTCTGTTCCAGTCAACCCTGGGAGTAGAGAAAGTTTGACGCAGGTGCAAAACAAAATACGCGAAATAAATTAAAGAAAAATAAATAAAAGAAAACAAAAAAAAGCAAAGGTACATTCTATAGAAATATACTTTACTCAAAGATAAATACTTTACATATAATCATTAAATACATATAAATTTCAATACATAAACATTATATAAAATTATCTAATCACTATCTCTGTCTTCTGCTACCGAAGTGGAGGAAGATGAGTGGTGGTATTGCTTTTGATCGCTCTCCCTATCCTCCGTTGCGATCAACGTGGTGAGTGACGGAGCCACAGACCAGTTCGCCGCTGGGGGCTGGGAGGCTTGCTGCTTATTAGCACTGGCTCTCCCGACTCCCATGGCCCCGGTCAGCGAACTCGGGGAGTCATTGGCCGTGAAAATGGGGCCGAGTAGGAAGGCGCGTGGAATGTTCCAGCGTGCCTTAACTGAGGTGAGGAGAATTTCTCCCCGAGAAGGGGCCGCTGAGACAAGGACGCGGAAGTGTGCGAAAGCGTTCCCGTGGCCCTGTCGATGTGCGTAAGACACCGTGTTTTTAGTCTGTGCGAGTTTGATATAGCCCGTCTATGCCTACGCGAGGGCGGTTAAGCATAGACGTAGGCACCATAGTAACAAAAAAAATGCAAAAAAGAAGTATAACACATCCACCTCACGCAGGTCTTCTGTGAGGCCGAATTACTTCCTCGGACGAACCGCGCGATCATTCAAAACCGAAGATTGCCGCGTGTCCCTACCACGGCTACGAAAAATGAATTTTGAAATCAAAAATTTTCCTGTAACTTACCATAATGACTGAATAATTTCGACCACTGGTCGAATACTACGAGTGTATGGCTTAAATACTCTCAGATATAAAAAAAAATGTAAATTATCCTACATAAGGTATCACCAGATGTGATTTAAAAAAGAAACATCACCTTAGAGAAAAAGACTCACCATAAAAAGAATGTGGTAGTGCCACATCGCGAACGTGGCCAGAATGCGATCAATAAAATTGGAAGCGAAAAGCAATCGTATTAAATCAAATCTTGGTTTTAACAACTCTGTTAATTGCTCGTTAACTTTAACTGCGACTATTTGTGATAATCCTTCGACTGTTACTGTTAGGGAGTATAGACTATAATACAGTTAACGTTTTGGTTTTTGTTTACAGTTTGTTACTTTGGTTAGAACTTTTAAGTAGTAAATTTCTCTCTTTTTTCTACCCCTTTATTATTATTAAAATGGCTTATGGGTAACTTATAAATTATAAAGATATATTTGCGCCCCAGTTTCTGATCATCGTAGAAGTTAACTAATCATCTGTCAGATGGCTTTTCAAATGACAAATGATTCTGATAATTAAGAAGATCAATCGAGAGAGTTTAACAATCCTTTTGGTATTCACTTAACATCAGGTGAACCAGCGGCTTGCGTGGCAACTTTTCACATAAAAAAATACAAATAACGTTTGAAAAGCCATTTGAAGGCTGATTAGTTAACTTCTACGATGATCAGTGTTTCAGAAACCGGGCTTTAAACATAGGAAAGCAATGTTCGTCAAATAAAATTTTTTCTCTTCTATGAGGTGGTGGTACTTACGCGGACAGAGCTGCCCATTCGTGCAACAATGAAAACTGTTGCCTGGCCCTATGTAGGGCTATCACTACATAGTATAAAACAAACTCGTCCGGCTGTCTGTCTGTTCCTATGAATACTTAGATCTTGAAAATTCTCTTTGTTTTGCATCCCTCTTAATAATAACTTGTGTCATCGCATCCCTAGTTGTTCTCAGCGCATTCGTCTAAAATACTCTCATAAATTATTCAATGTAAATAAATGTCGAACTAACGCCGGTTTACGCTCGCCGATGCAACGCATAGTGCAATCATACAACGACAACTTCACAAGTATGGATATTTTTGCTACTACTTCTTATTTAAAAAAAAAAAATGTGTGCGTGTACTAGCGTACACTCGTAAGAAGTGAAACTTTTTTATGACGTTTTTTTTCAAAAAATAATTTACTATATGCAACTTTACAGAAATTGGTTAAATAAAGTTAAATTAGATAAAGTTTAATAAAAGGCTTTTATTATCATAGACATAAATACAAATTCTACAATTATTTCATTTTAGCTTTGTATAATATTTAGTTTCTTATTTGTAATACATAGGTGGCGTTAATAATAAATTAAAACTCACTATGGTTTACCGTAGTAATTAGTATGAGGGTCCGCAAAAATTGTTGATTAAAAAACTTGCAACGTGAACCTTGTTTATTTCAATTAACCTCACGGACCCAAAATACAACCGCTTTGAATTTGTACATGGTCCTTCGTTGCCGAATAGTCAGCCAGTGAGTAGAAGGCAGACATTCGACTCGCGCGCGAGTGTTGTGAGAGAAGTTTTTTTTGAAAACCGAACTTGCGGACGTTGCATCGACGTCGCAACCGCAAGTTCCAGGAGCCGATCGAGGTTTCGAAGAGCATCATCGGTCAGCTTCAGATTGTGTCTTCGGTGGAAGGCGCAGTCAGGTCACGGTGGGCGGTGCCTGCCTTTGGAGAAGAGGAAGTCGACACAGTGTCGTGCTCTGAAGTATAGAGCTAGCACTGTCATTACTACAAAGATTATTATTGAATTTCATTAATTGTAATAGAATTATTACTATCGTTGATGTCGTTATTATATATTTGTGTTATTAATGGCTTATGGTAACTGAAATACGAAATATATTGTTTACATTTTAGAATTAGAATTAAAATAAGCCCTTTGATTTTGCTGATCACTTTTATATAACATGCTATGAACACACAAAGGAACTAACGCCATCTAGCGTCAACTATTAAAACCTCTAAAGAATAAAGACGACATAAAACCCCCTATTCAATACTAGATGGCGTTAGAGGAACATTTTAAGATAAAAAAAAGATGGCGCGTAACGGAAAAATGTTACATTAAATTTTTTTCCAACCCCGAAGAAGAAAGAAGTTTCACTTCAAAAATGTTACTAAATATTTAAATGTACAATAAATCAAGATAACATGTATAATCTTATCTCGCTACCTTATGCATTATATACATAACTTTGGGTATGCGGTGTTGAATGTACATATACTTATCTGTTTGATGTGTAATATGTTAATGTTTATATAAATTTTTTGTACATTTGTTTGTATGCCTCAATAAAATAAAATAACATAAAAAAATAAAACTACGCAACGGATCTTGATGCGGTTTTTTTACTAGATAGAGTGATTCAAGAGGAAGGTTTATATGTATAATACATTGCACCCGTCCGAAGTCGGGGCGGGTCGCTAGTATAAACACAAATATGTACTTAGGGTGTTGACATCATTGCAAAAGACGTCGTGCGGTCTCCTCCTTAAACGCCTGTTGGGCTGTCGTTCGATTGACTTTTTTACTGTGAAAAGTTGCCAAGTGAGCAGGCGGTTCACCTGATGTTAAGTGAATACCGCCGCCCATGCTACACCCGAGGATTCCAGATGCGTTGACAACCTTTGGAAAATTGGGCTCCGGCCACCTCTCACCAGACGAAACGCGAAAGTATTTGTCATACTTCTACTTTACGCCGGACTTCTCTGAGGTCGTGGTACTTACCCAGACGAGCCTGCCCATTCGTGCAACAGCCGAGGCTGCTGCGTGGCCCTACCACCGTAAACTTACGTTTCAATTGACTTATTTATTCATTTATTTATACTTTATGCACACAAAATATGTACAGAGGCGGATTTAATGCCATCAGCATTATCTACCAGACTTACGTTTTGGTGTTGCTCTCTTGATTTAGAGATAAGTGGAAAAACATAGAAACAAGTGAATACTGATTACTATGATCAATAATAAAACGATCAAATTAAAGCAGGATGTTTGCATTTTCCCAAGCCATAAGATATTTACGTTGCCAAATAACAATTAAGGTGATTATTTTCTGATTAAACATCAAAACAGACCAGGGTCAACAAATCTATCGATAATAAACTTTTTAAAAAACGCTCAATCTTTGCATTTACTGGAGATTAACCTATTGGCAACTCCATTTTGATTATCTAATGAAAAAAAAATCATTAGACTTTTTTTATTTTTTATATGGTACTGTGGCCATTTTGTTGATGGTAAAATGAAAGTAATAGGCCACGTATATAAATTGTATTTAGTACAGGACACGGACAGAAACGTACAGACAGTCAAGAAACATGTAAAAGAAGTTATACAGAATAGAAAGAATACTAGATAAAATATACTAAATTAGAAATGTAGAAAACTATTATATCGCGAGAACAATTAGCGGAATTATCTGAGCGCAATTAAACGTGCATTCGCCGTGAGATATGGATTCCGACTAGCGCGTCTGACCGAGCGGCAGCGGATTTTCGAATCCAGTGACGTCGGGTTCATGCGGTGACGTAGGCGCGGTCGCAGGTAACATCGCTCTCGCTTGCACGGCGCAACGGTTATGTGTCGTTCTAATTCTTTCGTGCTTTCGCTAGTGCTGCCACAGTACCAAAAAACGTGTTCTCAAAACAATTCTTCTTGGCTTCTGTGCCTAGGTGAATAAAAATCTCTCTTTTGTATCATGCTCCTTTTACCTCATTAGGTGTGGTAGGCACAACATTTCGTTCCTTCCACTTTCCTCCACGAGCTATCATCTCAATAGTCGCCTCTTTCATACATATCATTATTCACACGGTCCATCCAAATCTTTCTCGGTCTTTCTCCAGCCTTTCGCCCTTTAACCACTCTATTCCAGATACTCTTCTATATATGTCTTTCGTCCCTAATTAAAAATCCTCTATCTATCACGTAGACCTATCTTAAAGCTCAAACCATTTTATTTTTGTAAAAAAACAACATAAGTTTATAACAATTTAATCAGTTCAACAGAGAATGGAGATGTTTGAAGTTCACAATTCGTTTCGTGGGGTTTTTCCTCGATCTAAACGCGAGCAGTGCCTTCTTGGATATCGTAAAGGAGCGCCTTCCCTCACTTCGTATCTCGAAATATGGATTTGATAATTCCTCGGTGTGACATAGCGCGGAAAATACTGCTGAAACAAACCAAAGACCGCTTGAATAACTGTATCGATGTAATCGTTGTAACTCATACTTTCCTTATTACAGTTGGAATAATTTGCCGTGTATATTATACGCGCCAGCAAGGTTGAAGAAAGGTTCTCGAGTGGTAGCCGCGTACTGGCCATCGCAGTGTGGACGACCCCCCACTAGATGGAGTGACGACCTGTGCAAGTGTGCGGGAAGTCCATGGATGGAGGCTCAGGACGTACTTCGTGGCAGACTGCAAGGGAGGCCTATGTTCAGCAGTAGACTTAAACAGGCTGAAATGATGATGATGATACAGCAAAGACTCGAACTGAGCAATCACGCATGTTTTTAATTTAAACAATGTTTCATATAATTCTAGCGACTCCCTCCGGCTTCGCGCGGGTGCAATGCTGAATGTTTGTTTTCGACATCTTCGTTTCTCTACTACATTATGCATGGATTATAGATATAAACCTCCTGGATCATTCTTTCTATTAAATAAAACCGCATCAAAATCCGTTGCGTAGTTTTAAAGATATAATATTAGGTACATAGGGACAGATAGAGAGCGGGACGGCTTTGTTTTATACTATGTAGTGATTACATTAAAAGTAACAGCCTATACATGTCCCACTGCTGGGCAAAGGCCTCCTCCATACAGAGGGTATCAGGGCATAGTCCACCACGCGGCCCCACTGCGGATTGGCGGACTTCACATATATTCGAAATATATATATATATATATTTTTTTTGTTATTATTTCGAAAATATGCAGGTTTCCTCACGATGTTTTTCTTCACCGCGGAGCACGTGAAAGTCAGCACTTAAAGTTAAAAACTTCATTGGTGCCGGCACCGGGGATCGAACTCAGGTTGCTCGAGTATATTGAATTAAGGCGAGCGCCCGGACACTGAGCTATCACGGCTTGCCCAGCAGTGATTACATTAGTTGAAATTATTATTTTTCCCTATCGCCATTAACTAGACTTTTACTACCGGCAATACTCATTGGCAGGAAAAAATAATCTTTGGGTCGCAAAAACCTCTTGTCCTGATTGACAATCAAACCGATTACACCAAAGTAAACTTAGTTACTTCGCTACCGGTTGATATTATTGTGTATAATAAACATCACATATGAAGATTGAGGTTATAAGTTATTGTTCAAAATTCATCAACTCATATGTTCTATTGAGGTACTATTCATTCACTTTGGTTGGCTTCAACATAAGCAATCTTTCATTTTTTTGTAATAATATGGCAAGCGAGCGGGCGGTTCACCTGAATGGTAAATGACAACCGCCGCCCATGGACATTTGCAACACCCGTAGGATTGCAAATGCGTTGCCACCTTTATATATAGTGGACCCCGGCTGCCCCACTCACCAGACACGCAGAAGTGTAACACATCTACTTTACGCTGGTCTTCTATGAGGTTGTTGTACTTACCCGGACAGACCTGCCCATTCGTGCAACAGTGAACACTATTGCGTGGTCCTGCCACTGCTATCTAATTTTTATTGCAATTTAAGCAACGGTTAGCGCCATCTAGCGTTTTTCCCTCTAAAGCAAACGACCACTTTTCGTTAGGACATTCTACAATGAATTGAAAATGCTAGAGATGTCCTTTGCTATTGAAATTTCTAAGTGAAAATTGCAACGCTATAAAAATTAATCAATTACATTTAAAGAGTCACAATTCCTCATATATATAATAATTGACTATATTTATTTCAACATGTTTTGTTTGTAACAGAATAATAACCGATTAATAGTGACATGAGGACGTCATTGACACTACAAGAATGGAAAGGGTTCGATACGTCGGGAATTCAAATTAAAACGTAATAAAACCCGTAAAAAAAAAGGCTCCAAGAAAGAAAGGAACTTATCAAAACACAACGACAAGCCGCTTTTTTTGGAATTAACAATACTTACATTAAGTAAAGTAGGTAATATAAAATAGATTATATATTAAAGTATAAAATTAAAAGAAAAGCACTACCATAATATATTAGCAAAGATTCATAATAATAAAAATGCATATACGCTGGCCAGAGAAATAAAAAACCTACTCAGAGGGCGCCACATTTGCTTTCTTCTTCATGTTTGAAGATTGATAAAGAAGGTCGGGTTCTTTCTCCTCGAGCTATATATAGCAAATAGAAACTTAATGAAATACATATTAAATATATAAAAAGATAACAAATTACAGATCTTTGTCTGTTTATGATAGCAGATAAAAATTGTTTTAATACATATTTGTCAATTGCAAGATTATATGAAATGTAAAAAAAAAAGATCAGTCCACTGCTGGACATAGGCCCCACAGACTGCATCCATGAACTTCCCGCACTTAATACTATAAACAATATATTTAATGGCAAACAAACACCTACTTATAATGTATAACAGATAAATTGAAATCAGAAATTGATTCGTCGCCTTGTTCATTCTGCACTGTTTTTCTTAGACAAAAGTTACACGGAATGAAAACTTTGTTATGAACCAGTTTTTATTTGATTTTTATCGAGCGTACCGAATTGTGATTAGTCTGAGAGTTGTACTTGTAAATGTCTATAGTAAACTAGGCAGCCAACCCAACTTTGCCTAGTCATTTCTTTTATTTTTATTTTGCCTTTTTACTTGCAACCACGTAGCAGCTTTTGCTGTTGCACGGTTGGGCAGGTACCGGGAAGGACCGTGGCAATACAGAAGACCGGCGTGAAGTGTCCATATCATATTTTCCTTTTGGTCTGGTGACTGAGGGAACGAGAAATGTGATGTTCAAATCATTAAATTTCATAAAAAATTATCGATTAAGTCCAACACTAATGCCCCAACACTAACAATGTTCCAACACTAATGCCCCATCGATCCCTAACTTTAAGAAAAACCTAAGAATATTTAAGTGCTAGTTTCGTTTTCACCTCTGATTAAGTGTCATCTAAAGTCTTTAAACGGAACTAGAACTTAAATTTTTTTTAGGTGACTCATAAAGTTAGGGATCGATGGTGAAAACGAGCATTAGTACTTTTGAGAAATAATATATAAAGTTGTTCGCATCTTTAACACGATAAAGAATTCGTCTTCGATCGTTTATATACCAAATACCTAATGAATACTTATGGATATAATTAATGTTTCGGCTGGTTCTGTTGTCGTGTGGACGAAGACCTCAATCGGAGACTCGAATTGATCAAAAAGATTAAACGAACATTTCCCTTTGCAAAACGTCTTTCTTACTACTATTTATCGGTTGAAAGGCAGTGGTCCCACATCTTCGATGTCGATTATCAGACATTTGCTTCCTTTCTTATGCGCGAAGGCGGCAAGCGAGCTTGGCGGTTCACCTGATGTTAAGAGATAAGCGCCACCCATTGGCATTTGCAACAACTGTACAGTTCACAAGACAGTTTACAAGACAACGTATCTGTAACCCTACGGTTACAGATGCGTTGTCATCTTTAGATAAAGTGAATGCGTTGTCACCTATTAAAACGAGACAAAACGCAGTGCGTGGAAGTGGAATCTTGTATCTTGTATTAACTGATGTTTTTGCTTTCAGTCCCGAGACTATTAAAGCTTCATCGGACGCAGAACCGGTGGGCTAGCCAGAACCCACGGGTTTGGACCCTCCGCTATGGGTAGGGTCGCGCATGTGCTCATGCGTGCGTTTAACTACTATGGTGTGTCATCTAAGGGCCGTCGAGGTCGCCGTTTCGGACCGAGACCCCGACGGCCGTCGACTGTGCATTTAGCTAATCGGTGGCTGGGAGCGGTGAGAACCGCCCCGGAACGCGGGTGTACCTTGTGTACGCGTTGTGTGGGTCTCGCCGTGCTCGGAGGCGAGGGCGAACTGGTGTGATTGTTGTTACACTAACTGTGGGTGTAGTGTTATCCGGCAGGACCCCCGGCGGTGGGTCCATCGTGTGTAAGTCCTCTTCGTCAACCGGGTCGATGAGGACGTTTTGCGGGCGACGTTTGTTTACGTTCGTGTTTGTGTCCGGTTGGTAGTTTGCTGCGCTTACCACCAGAGGGTTGGGATGATGCTGGGCTCTATCGAAGAACCGTTTTGTCAAATCTTTAAAATGTGCGCGAATCGTCGGGAGCGTCTTACGCAAGCTTTATATAACAGTAGTTTGTGCCTTAAGGGCATTTTACTATGCTTATTCGTTAAATTGTGTAGCCGGCCGGAGACGAACGCGGCTTTATTTCTGACTTGATTGATGTGCGTAGTGAAAGTCATACGCGAGTCGAAAGTGACTCCTAAATATTTGACCGTTTTCTCCCAGGGGAGAGTTTGGCCGTATAGTGATATTTGCCCCAACTTTCTGTACTGGCGAGGACCTTTGTAACGGTTTGGCGGATGGGGGTTGGGGTGCTACGAGTAAAGTGAATGAATCGCCACACTTTTTTCTGGATTAATATCGATTCTCCATTTGCGGAACCAATCGCCGAGGCGGTCGGCGGCGCTTTGGAGTCGAGTTGTTAATTGACTGAGGTTGCGATTTGAGTAAAAGAGCGCCGTGTCATCCGCGAAAAGCGCGAGATTGACGTGGGGGTCTCTAGGTATGTCGCTCGTGTAGAGCGTAAATAGCAAGGGTGAGAGGCAGGAGCCTTGTGGTACGCCGGCCGTGAGGCGGCGGCTTGTGGGGAGGGTGCCCTCGACTCGATATCGGAAAGAGCGGTTCAACAAAAAGGCCCGGATGGTGTGTACGAGCCTATCTGGCACTTTGAGTGTGTACAGCTTGTAAAGCAAGCCGTTGTGCCAGACTTTGTCGAATGCTTTTGCGACATCGAAGAAGAGAGCCCCTGTACTGATGTGTTTGGGGTGGTTAAGGCCTTTTAGGATGTGCTCCGTTAGGCGGTATAACTGATCGGGACAAGAGTGTCTAGCTCGAAAGCCGAATTGTTCCGTCGGCAGAAGGCCGTTGGAAAATACGTGCTCTTTGAGCCTGTTTAACAATTTTGGTTTTAAATTTTTAATAATATCTTGGACCTCTTCGGGGGTCACTGAACTTCCGGTGGAAGCGCAGCCCTAGTCTCGATTACGCGGTCCACCTCCGTTAGGTGGACCGAATCGGTGTGTTCGCGCGATGGCGTACATTGCTGCTCTAGGTTGTCCGCAAGGCATTCGGCTTTTGCGGAGTCATCTAGGGCTACTGAAGCGCTATTAGGTCTAACTAACGGCGGTAGAGATTCGCGGGGGTCTGCTTTCAGACTGCGGGCCAACCGCCAGTAGACGGTGTGCGATGGCTCGATGTCTTCTAGGAGAGTGTCCCACGTTGTGTGTCGGTGTTCCGATACACGATCTTTGACTTCTAGCTGAAGGCGTCGAAGTAGGGTTCGGTTCGATTCCGATCGGTATCGGTCGAAGGCGCGTTTGGCTGCTTTTTTCTGTCTAATTAGCAGTCGCAGGTCGGGCGGAAAGTTAAACCGTCAGTCGCCCGACAGTTTCACCGTCCGTTCCGAGTCTGTGACTGCGGAAGTAATAGTTTCGCGGAGACTCGCTATCGCTCGATTTGCGTCATCGAACGTAGCTATCGTCTCGGGTAAGTCTACTAAGTCCTGGGGGTCCAAGGCCTTGAGTTTGACCTCAAGATGATGCCAGTCCACTACGGATTTGGTCGGAGGGACCGCGCCGGCGTTCTGGCCCAGTTTACACAGGACGGGCCTGTGGTCTGAGTCTAGTTCATGGATTGTCTCTATCGACTCGATGTCGAGCGAGACCTCCCTGAATAACATTATGTCTAGGACACTCGGTGACGCGTGCTGGTAGGATACCTAGTGGGAGTCGCGTGAGCGACTATACTAAAATTTAGGTTATCGGATAAGCTAAAGAGATGCTTTCCGTTGTTGTTTGGGATGCTGTTGATGTCCCATGAGCCGTGTTTGCAGTTTAGATCTCCTGCAATTATCACGGAAGGGCCTAAGTTAAGAAGCGTATCTAGGTCGCTTTGAAGGAGGGTTCTATTCCCCGAGAGGTAGGCTGAGACTAGTACAAGCGGCCTGTGGCCGGTGAGCGCTAACTTACACGCGGATGCCTCTATTTGACTTAGCTCTGGAATGTCGAGCGGGCAACAGTGCAAGGACCGTTTATAATAAATAAGTGTCGTGGCGGACAATATTGTAATTTGCGATTCTGGGATCGCGTACACTAGGTTTCAAGAATGTCTCTTGCACTAGGAAAATATCTACGTTATAATCGCGAAGGAATTCCGCGATTTCATCCCTTTGACCCTTTATGCCGTTTGCGTTGAAATACGAAACAACCAGAGCCCGAGGTTTTGTTCTACCTGCGGTTGTACTTCCCATTAAGGTGTTTTTGTGGGTCTAATTAACCACGCGGCGGAGCGCGGTTTTATTGCGCGGTCTATTGTTTTTTTACGGTTGGCTCGTAAAAGCCCAAAGGGCTTCCACAAGCGTTTTGTGTTGGCTAATTGCCCTAAGACGCTCGTGGCCAGATGTGGCGGCCGCTATTTTAGCTGACAATACGGCGATTCCTGCCTATTGATTCTATCTAATAAGCTGCAGATGTTAGCTATTTGCGCGAATGGGTCGTCCTTGTTTTCCGCGAAAACTGACGGAATTGGCTGCACCTGCGGCCGCGGCGCCGTTTGAGAGGCGGGCAGCTGTTGCGCGATCGGTCGTGAGGCGACTGGGATTACCGGCGCGGTTACCTGCGCGGCCACCTGGGGTTTCGCCCAGGCGTTTACGACGGGTACGGGCGCGGTAATGTATTTAACGGGCGCGGGTTTGGGCAACGTAGACTTCGCGGGAGATTTTCTCGCGGGAGTTTTCGGGGCCTTAGCGCAGCCTCTATAACTAGCCGGATGGCCGGTAGTGTGACAATTTACGCAGTCCGGTGGATCTGCGCAATTTTTCGGCCTCGTGCACTCGGTTGTGCCGTGGTCACCGGTGCATTTGACGCACCTTGGGTGAGCGAAGCAGTTATTGGCCGTGTGGCCAAAATGTTGCCAGTTGTGGCACTGTGCCACAACACCTGATTTACGTGGGGGCTCGATGACTAAGTCACTGAGCCCACAGACCCTCTTAAGGTTGAAAATGGCCTTACCTTCCGGGGTAGGGTCAAGTTCCACCATGACCATGTCCATAGGGACACGGGTGCGAGGGTGCCTGAGACGACGCACGGCGTGAACAGGGTATCCCTGAGTGCGGATGTCGACCTTAGCCATATCGACATCCGACTCTTTTGGGACGCCCTTAATTACGACCCGAAGTTTACGCTCTTCGGGTAGTGAGTAGGTGTGGAAACCTACCTTAGCTTCGCGCAAGTACTTAGTTACGCGACGGAAATCGTCCGAAGAATCGAGGTATACGCGGATACCCATATGCGTATTCTTGGACCGGGGGTCTCGGATGTTGTGGCGTTCAAACCACGAACAAACCTGGTGCCACTTTGCCTTATCTTGTATTATTATTGGCGGCGGTGGCTTGATTTTTCGCTCGGAGGGGAATGTCGGTTCCGACTGGGCAGACGCGGCTGCCTTTTTGGCGGGCGTCGCGGTGGGACGGTTTGACGGGGCGGCTTCGCTTTCGGGGTCGCTGTCGGTAGCGGGGCGTTTCTTGCCCTTTTTTCGCGATTTGACGACGGTGAAGCCGTCGGCGTTCGCGTTGTTAGCGGGGGTCGTTTCGACCTCCATGTCTGAGCCGCCGTCCGATTGTGAGTCGGGAACGACAGCGCGGAAGGGGGCTGAAATGGTTTGCGCGGACGGAAGGCGCGTTGGGTTCGTTCGCGGCGGCGGAAGTCGACGCGACGGGCGTATCAATTGTCGCAGAGGGCGACTCGATGACTGGCGCAGAGGGCACCGGAGATGGCGGCGAGGCGGCAGCCGGTGAAGCCGGACTGTCGCTAGAAAATTCGACGACGATGTGTCGTTCCCTCGCGAAATTCAAATATTTTACCCATAATTCAGGGCATTCTTGACGCAGGAATTCCTCTATGAGGGAACCCATGTCGACGCTTGAGCCTTTGGGGCTTGCGCCCTGCCGGCGTGTGGTTTCTAAATAGGCCTCCCCACCTTGCGGCAGGGAGGTGTGTGCCTAAAATTGAAGTTTAATCGCCTGCGCTTTAGGTGCGCTAGGGTGAGTACCTAGCTGTCGCCTAATGCAACAAGCACACAGGAAAAAAATTACAATGCCGCCTCTGAGACGAGAAATGTGTGTAGAATTCTACTAACGGACAGGAACCTGCCTACGAGCACAACACTAAACTAACACTATCCGCTCGGAAGTCGGGCAAAGTTTCTTCTTTCTTCTATAATGTTTTTTCCTTCTTCTATAATGTTTCTCCTTTCTTCTTGCTTGAGACTTCCCTAACCGTAGACCGCGAAACACGACAACGATGAGGCGAACAGTGCACACCAAGAGACAAAAGAAATGAAATTAGCAACAACGGTTGCAAGATGGCTTCCGGGTCGGTTGGCATGGGCCCTCCGGCTCAGAGTAACGTCCGTTCCGTGTAGAAGCACGAAGCGGAATCAAAAACGAAGCGGAATGTGAACCTGGAAGTGGAACTGTAACACTAGAATTGTAACAGCGGAAGTGTAACACAAGTGGCCGTACCACGGTTAATACCTGGGTAAATGGATCGACTCGAGGGGTACCAGGCCCGCATAAGACCGGCGTGAGTTGAGTTGATATTGCTGATGAGCGGATTCAGCATCAGGTAAGCCACGTGTTCGACTACAGCTGTCTCCAATAAAATTGGGAGCGATCAAAAGCGCACCTTAATCGGTGGCTGCACTTTAATTTTAGTAAGTGACAATATGTATAGCTGGTTGTTCATATCATGATAACTCACTTCTGCAGGCCATCTTTGGATGTCATGGAGAGTCTTTCTATTGGAAGCGTAAAAAAAATATCGATTCGAAGGTTTATTATAAAGAATATTTTAGACGTTCTACAGGCTCAAATTCTAGTTAAAAATGCAATCATATCTGCGGCACAATTGTAATCCAAACCAATTGGTAAGCGCTTGTGCTTAGATCATTAATTATTTTATATTATACTAGCCCCCCGAATTCACGCGGGTTCAATGTATTATACATATAAAACTTCCTGTTGAATCACTCTATCTATTAAAATTTGTAGAAAAAACGTAACGTTCGTTCCTAAAGTTCTATAATTTTTTTATATTGCTAATCTCTGCACTTAATATTGAACATTAAAATTTGTAGAAAAAGTACGCAAAGATTATCGCCGCGATTAAACATTGCTTCAAATGCTAAAAAAAACAATGTAGATAAAAGACGTTAAGATTTTCGTCGGTGTGGCAATCAGCCGTTTAGCTCAGTGGCTAGAGCGTCAGGCCGCCAATTCCGAAGACGTGGGTTCGATTCCCACAGCGGCGACAATCTTTTCGTCCTTTTTCTACAAATTTTAATGTTCAATCTTAAGTGCAGAGATTAGCACTATAAAAAAATTCTATAAAACTTCACTGTAAAAATTTCACTCTATCTAGTAAAAAAAAACCGCATCCAGATCCGTTGCGTAGTTTTAAAGATCTAAGCATACATAGGGACAGACAGCGAGACGATTTTGTTTTATACTATGTAGTATTATACAATGTTTCGCCATTTAAGATACGTTTCGCGAATTCGTCCAAATAAAAATTAGGGAATACCATTTGTGTTGTTTTGCTTAACCTCCGTCAGGCCTTATTGACCCCGCATTTGTTTTATCAAAATAAGGATGGGAGTATCTCATTCGATTATTATTGTAATAAGCGAGACGAAGTGATATTAAATTTAATCGATGAAAGTCGACCGAAAATTATTCGTGTATCATTCGGTCGATTCATCGGAAACTAGGCGATAGGAATTTATTAACAAAAAACTGAACTAAATTCGAATATCTCACTCACTATACATGTGATTACAGATCTACTCCCCCTGATGTATCTTTGGATTCAAGGTCTAATATCAATTAAAACAATATGGCTCCACACGATGATATTGTATACAAAGATATGACACTAGCTCACCGAAATTGTGGCATTCAAATTATACCATTTGGTTACATTGCAAATCTGTAGGCTGCTATCTCTTTCCATATCATAGGTTCTATATCATCTGTCACATTCACTTATATATATATCATGTAATGTTAAGCGGAACAATTTTAAACGCCGCGCAGTATGGACATGGCACAAATACATAATCGAACCATAAAGACTCATATTTGCGTCATTTACTTACTTCAGCCTCCGAAGCCGGTCCCGGCCCTGACCGAAGTACCCCTTAGATGAGAGGCCAAAGTGTGTACACAACCCGATCAAGGTCTTTGCCTCTCTCCCAAGGGAAAGTAAAATCGTCGGGTCTCTTATCATCGTCGCGAAAAATGCCACAGGGCTCTAAAATAGATGCAACATTGATGGAAACAAGAGCCTTACGCATGATGTCGTCTAATCTAAATTAAAGTAAAAGTAAAGTAACAGCCTATACATGTCCCACTGCTGGGCAAAGGCCTCCTCTATACAGAGGGTCCTCTATAAGAGCCGTGATAGCTCAGTGTCCGGGCGCTCGCCTTTAATTCAATCTAAATTAATCAGTGTAAAAGTACCTTATCATGCTATTGCAGATGCGTTGTCAACCTAACGCCTTCACTAGACGAAATTTTAAAATACAATTGTTTCCACTTCGTTAGACTAGTTTGGAAAATGTTATAATTTACAAGAGCGTTACGATATTAAAATTTGTAGAAAAAGTACGAAAAGATTGTGGCCGCTGTGGGAATCGAACCAACGTCTTCGGGATTCGCGGCCTGACGCTCTAGCCACTAAGCTAAACGGCTGATTGCCACACTGACGAAAATCTTAACGTCTTTTATCTACATTGTTTTTTTAGCATTTGAAGCAATGTTTAATCGCGGCGATAATCTTTGCGTACTTTTTCTACAAATTTTAATGTTCAATCTTAAGTAGGTCTATAAATTTTTTATAGTGCTAATGTATGCATTAGCACTATAAAAAATTTATAGAACGTTAGGATATTTACGATTTTTTTCATCTACTTATTTTAAATAAAACTTCTAAAGAATAAAAACTCATAAACTTGTGATATTATTTTTAAATTCTCCTTCACATTTTTGATATAATTTATACTCGTAGCGCTGATTTTTCTTACAAAATGTAGTGTCTAATGAGACGTTTGGCAGAGGAAGTATGCCAATTATAACATTGGTAAGCCCAAAACGTATTATGTATACTATTAAGATTATAAATTAATTGAGACAATATATTTTTTTTAATAGGCAAACGATTATTAAATCGATATAACCAACTACAGAGCTGTTTAAATCGAATCTGTGTGAACTTTGTCATCGAGTGCGGGAAATTAAAAAAAATGTACGATGATTTATTCCTGCAACGTCTGGCATTACAATTTTACGTTTTTCATTCGTTAAAAAAATACCTTAACCTCTTGAAAAAGGTTTATCGATGTATCATTAAACATCTAAATTAATCGATGCATCGAATAGAAATATCGATGTACATTGTGCAGCGCTACGCCAACGGTACTTTCGCGGGCTCACATTACGCCTCACTCATTACGGCGTCTCCGCGCAACTCCCCAACACTGCCCAAGGCCAAAAAGCTGCGATGAGGTGAGTAATGTTTTCGTATTTTTAAAATAGAAATAACGACGACGATTTTGGCGACTTAAAATTGTAACAATAAAACTGTACCGATGCTTGTTTTAAATAGGTACAGACAATTTATTTACTAAAATTTGCAAAAACTTTACAAATACAAGTTAGTGGCCGAAAATGAAATCAAGCGTATTTGCATTAAATGGAAAATAATTAAAAACCTTTAGGTTTGTACTTCGAAAGCTTATGTTGATGTTATAAGTGATTATTCTGGACCTCCAATCAGAGGCAATGGAAATTTTAACATAATTGGGTAAGAGTAGATTTTCGAGAAAAACGGTGTAATACTTTTAAAAGAGCTTGAACAACGAGACGTATTGTTTGAAATTTTTACCAAAATTTAAAACGATAGTTAATCCATCAGCAGAATTCTCCGGTCGCTTTTACTTTTCGAGAAAAAAATATTTACTTGTTAATTTCACTAAGAAAGTCCGCCATTTTATTATTTGACTTCAAAAACTAAATACACAGTTCTGCCAACGTGATAAATATAGGAAGCGGGCGATGTCATACTCGTATCGATAGTTCAATTTTTTTTTAATTTATTGAGTCACAGAACCGACACAGAGCAATCCGAATCGGAAAGATTAAGTTAGAATGTAACATTAACCTTCGTGGTTATTTTTTTTATCACCACACATATAGGAGCAGAATTGACATATTGACAACAAAAAAATGGCGGATTTCACTGGACGTAAAACAATTAAGGCTTCTCCTCAAGTACACGACCTTCATCTGGATATGCGCCCTGCAGCTGTTTTTGCGAGACGGCCATTGTCTGCCCTGTCGCGACGATGGCTACTGGCTATCTCGGCCGAGTACGAAGTTGGTTACTCGCGTTCACCCGACGGAGAGTGGTCACCCCAACTTCCGAGACGGTAGGCCTTTTTTCGGTGTTTAAAATCTCCCAGGCTAGTTTAGCAAGGGCTCGGGTATTCCCCACGTAACGGAGGACCAAACTTGTTTTTTTTTAATGTGAGAACGTGGCAAGACATTCCAATTTTATTTATCTGTATAGATTTTTGTATGTTTGTCTGTTTTCTCCGGCTAACCTCCGAAGCAGCTGGGCCGCTTTTGACGGGTCTTTCACTGGCAGATAGCTTATGTAATAAGGAGTAACTTAGGCTACTTCTATTTTAGAAATTTTATTTATTTTTAATACTATAATATTTAATACTCGTACTAGCTGCTGCCCGCTGACTACGTCTGCGTAGATTAGGCTAGAGGCGTAACATTCAGACAGAAATACAGATATACATTCTGATGTATAAGCTATATTATTGTGAAGTTTGATTAAAATCCATTCAGTAGTATTTGCGTGAAAGAGTAACAAACATCCATCCCTACATACAAACTTTCGCCTTTATAATATTAGTAAGGATAATTCCACGTGGACTAAGTGACGGGCACAGCTAGTTGCAAATAAATCTTGTTTATTTTTTTATTTGTAGATTAATATTAACTGTCGTGTAACCTTCAGAAATCAAATTATGTATTATTGCACTTTGAAATAAAATAAATGGCCGCTGAAGAACATAGCGCACCCGTAGGGTTATTTTTAAAGGCTGTCAAATTCGTTAACATGTCGCTGGTTACTCAGTTTTTTTTTAACAGTTTGTTTATACATTCAACAGGACAGTTAATAAAACTACAGGGAATGGGGAAATCGGTGTTAATTTAGTGTTATTTTGCACTCCTCCCATTTAAGAATGGCGTAAACCGGAAAATAAAAAGGATTTTAGTGACAAATTAATGTAAACTTTTATCGCTTGGATAAAACGCGGTACTTTTCCTGACCATTACATTATTTCCCTATACAATTGTTTCGAAAATTCTTTGTCAAATCAAAATACTTTCGAAACAATAATGACTCCTCTCGTACTCAATTCTGATGAAGTAAAAATGTTCTTATGTTGGCGATGGAAACACTGTATACCGGATATGACTTTATATACTCGAGCCAAGGGACACATGGTCGCATGGAGCAGTGGTCACTTGGATTTCGGCTGCGTTCCCGGACGGTGATATAAACACTAGTGCTGCTTGTCGTCATAATAATTGTTAATATTCAAGTTTAGTAATAGTTAAAATATTAGGATCAAGGTAAAAACGTTAGAGCTCTTATACTTAGCGACTTCGTTATGCGTTAATTAATTAAATCTTGATATGAGGGCAATTTAAAGCAAAATAACAGCCCATATAAGTTGCCCAATGCTTGGCAAAGGACTCATCTGTACGAAGGGTACTAGGGCATTGTCCACCACGCGGCCCCACTGCGGTTTGGCGGACTTCAGACATAACCTGAGATCAGCAGCGGACTTAAACAGGCTGAAATCTTGATGATGAAGATGAAATATATATCTCACTTTAGAATTGAAGGGACCTAATTATGAAAATCATGACTTTGGCTTTATGTCAGGAAACGTCCTGAAATGACGTTTTTCGAATCCTATTAAAACATGGGCCGATTTTAGAAAGCTACATAACGTATACTTCTCTCTCTTTCACCTCCCCCCAAATAGCGCGTTTGTTCATAAGTTCCACAAATCCTTATTTTACGTTTCCCACAAATTGATATTTTTAAATAAGTCACTATAATTCTAAAGGTGTTATGTCCTATCAGAAGTTAGTATCAGTATAGTTAATGACAGTTCATTGACTATACTGTTTAAATTACAGTCACAATGGATGTAATAAAGGACGGTACCCAGGACACTGCAAACGATTCAATATCTCCCTCGCTGAATACCCAAATGAACGTGAAAAACTCCGACTCTGAAGGTAAACTGTTATTGCTAGCTTCTAGCCACAGCTCCGACTGCCGAATTATTTAACATTTTATTCGTTGAATATATATTAAAACTCATATACAGCGTGTCGTTACAAAAGCTTATAGCTTTAAAAAAAATCCATAATTAAAAAAAATATTTTTCATACAAACTAATTAAATAAAAAATAAACAAAATTTGTAACATCCTATACAACTACAACCGTCTGATTCATAGATTCAGAGACTTTTTCATTCGTTGCCACAGCGTCGCATTACAAATCTCTCCTTCTAACAGTATGTTTTATCTCTTTTTAAATTCATTCAACCCATTCATATGCTTTGTGACCTTTACAAATTAACTTTACGTTACAGTTTTATACGTAAGGGTGTTCTTAAATTGTTTGTTTTGGAAAATTGAATAACTCTGTAAATATTGAAGTTTAAAGAATGCAAATGTTTGATATAACTTTAAAAGGTTATTCTCTATATGTGTGTTCATTTATTGTCCGGTTGTAACGACACTAACTGACTGAATAACTGACTGACAAACTGACAAGATATTTTTATTTGTGAAGGTACAAGTCTTCGGTAAAATAACCGTTAGCATATTGAGACAAACTTTTCTTATTTCATGTTTTAATCACTAATTCCAACAAATAAGGTTTTTTGATAAAAAAAATTCTGTTGGATTATACACTTGGTCCGTTGTTTACCGAATAAAATATTCGGTACATAATGTTTACAAAATACCATTTCAGAAATCGACCTTACACTTGATGTGATGCCTAACGACAGTCGATCTAACGGTTATTCCGGAAATCCCGTTTCGGGATCAACAGGCAATGTTCCGGCATTAAATGACGAAGGTAAAATAATCAGATATTGTCGCTTCCATCATCGCATTACAATTACTTGATTACAATATTGTGTTTTATTGTAATAGCAATACAATAAAAAGATTTTACTCCTTCTAATTCACTGACTTACACGAATCAATGAGGCTTTCTGTAACATACATCTGTTTTTCATCATTTACGTAAGGCGTTTTGTATTAGGTAATTTTCTAAAATTTCCTTACGTTGTAATTGAAATGTTAAAAATGTATGTAGCCCACTAATGGGTACAGGATTCGTGCGTGTGATTAAAAAAGAGTGAATATAATTTCAGGCATCAGTGGAACCGTAGCAAAATATTTTGGAGTTGTTCTGGAGATTCCAAAAGTGACTTCACTGATGAATATTCAAGAAGACGACGAAGGTAGTGAAATTCAAAATAAATAGTTCTTCTTTTCTCATGTGCAAGTGAGCTGGTGGTTCACAGTTACGGTGGTTCACAGTTACGGTTACATCAGTCAGACATCTTATTTTCCTTACAGCATATGCTGCAGAACTTAGTCTGCTAGCAAGTTTGGATATATGGGGGCCCCATTGAAGTTTTCAATCAAGAGTTATTCCTAGAAAAACAATGGTATCCACAAGGCCTAACTCGTCCCATTTATACATAGTACCATTTATACATAGCCCATAGTACATTGGCACCACCCAAGTGTTTAACATTAGGTGTCGAAAATTTTATACATTTATTTTTATTGCCATTTAACAGTAAATTATTAGCATTAAACCAATGAACTATTTCTGACATAGCATGATTTACCTAGTCAAGTGTTACAATACGTCGCTTAATTTCAAAGATTAATGAAGTATCATCGGCAAACAAAACTGTCATGTTTTTTTCCTACTAAGTAGGGTAAATCATTAATATATACGAGAAAAAGGAATGGGCCGAGAATTGAGCCTTGCGGAACGCCCATTGATATCATCGACCCAGAAGACTGACCAGAAAAAACAGTATAATACTTCTATTTTATAAAATACTTCCACTTAGTTCCGGTCTTCTGTGATCTATTTTGCTGATGATTTTTCCGGTCAAAGTTGTAAATAAGCCTTTGATAAATGAACCATCAGCATATTAAGTCAGACTTCTCTGATTTAATGTCTTCACGTTTTAATAATTTAGATATCAATCCAAAATATGTCAGACCCATTTATCTGATATAAACGACTGTTGGGTTGTAAAATTGGTACATGTTCAGCAGTGGACTCAAACAGGCTGAAGTGATGATGATGATGAAGAAAATTATGTGGTATCAGAAGTTCGTACATTGTCATTGACTGTATTGTTTAATTTACAGTCACAATGGATGTAGGAAAGGACGGTATTCAGGACACTGCAAACAATTCAATAACTCCCGCGTTGGGTTCCCAAATGAACGTGCAAAACTCTGATTCTGAAGGTAAACGGTTATTGCTAGCTTCTACCCACAACTTCGACTGCTGAATTATTTAATATTCGTTGAATATTTATTGAAAATCATATATAACTAACAACGTAACAAGTAAACTACTTACTTGTGCCCATAGTACACGCAACGCTTGTACTATGGGTACAAGAAAATTGATAAACATACTTTTCTCGTGTAAATAAATAAATATTCTTTATATATAAAAATTACCTGTAGTATGTTTGTCTGCGATGGACTCCTAAAATAATATATCGATTTTAATCAAATTTGCACACCGTGTGCAGTTTTATCCAACTTGAAAGATAGGATACCTTACATTTCAATTTATAGTCACAGTATAATTTTATTGCAAATTATTTTCTTATTAGATGACAAAGAGTTATTGTTATCTCTGAATTGTGTAAGTTATCGGCTGGATTGTGTAAGTATCCAATACTTGGTGCTGCGTTAAAAGTCGAAACGCATGGACCTGGTAGAAATGGCGCAGACGAAGTTGCGCGGGCCAGCTAGTATATTTGTAATGGATTAGCGGTGGTATGGCCACGCAACAGCCTCGGCAGGCTCGTCCGGGTAAGTACCACTTTCGTGTTTGGTCTGGTGAGTGAGGTGGCCGGAGTCCAATCTTCTAAAGACTGTCAACGCATCTACAACCCTCGGGTGTAGCAGATGTTCATGGGTAGCCGTATTCACTTAACATCAGGTGAACCGTCTGCTCGTTTGGTGACTTTTCACATTAAAAAAAAAATATTTTACGAAAGAAAAGTATATTTAAGTATATGCATCAGTTATCTGACACCCATAGCACAAGCGTTGCTTAGTTTGGGTCTACATTCAGAACGTTGTGTAAAAATGTGTCCTAAATATAAAAAGAATGGTTCAAGACCCTTCTCGCGCTCGTCCGACGCCCCTTTTTTATGTCTGATATATCAATGTTAAGGTACAAGTCCTCGGTAAAATGAGCATTACCATATTGCGACAGTCTTTTCTTATTTCACGTTTTAAGCATTTAGATATCGCTCTATCAGAAAATATACTCAGATTCCTATATCTGATTTAAACAAATATCAAAAAACAACTGTTATAAACTTGGTAGTTTGTTTTATGTTATTGGGTACATAATGTTAACGCAATACCATTTCAGAAATCGATCTTACACCCGATGTGATGCTTAACGACAGTAAACCTAAGGATTATTCCGGAAATCCCGTTTCGGTATCAACAGGCAATGTTCCGGGATTAAATGACGAAGGTAAAATAATCAGATGTTGTCGCTTCCATCATCGCATTACAATTACTTGATTACAATATTGTGTTTTGTTGTAATAGCAATACAATAAAAAGATTTTACTCCTTCTAATTCACTAACTTGACACGAATCAATGAGGCTTTCTCTAACATACATCTGTTTTTCATCCTTTACTTAAGGCCCTTTTTTATTAGGTACTTTTCTAAAGTTTCCTTACGTTGTCATTGAAATGCTGTAAATGTATGTAGCCCACTAATGGGTACAGGATCCGTGCGTGTGATTGAAAAAGGGTGAACTTGATTACAGAGACCAGTGGAACCTTAACGAAATATTTGAGAGAAGATGTCCTGGAGATTCCAAAAGTGACTTCACTGATGAACATTCACGAAAAGGACGATGATGGTAGTGAAATTCAAAATAAATAGTTCTTCTTCTCTCATGTGCAAGTGAGCTGGTGGTTCACCTGCTGTTAAGTGATTATCGCAGCCCGTGGACATTAACAAAGTCGGTTGAAGACGCGTTAGCATTCTTTTATATAACAAGCCCCGTTTAGCTCACTGACCAGACAAAACAGTACAATACTTCTACTTTAAAAAAAATACTTCCACTTAGTTCCGGTCTTCTGTGATATATTTTTTACGTCTGATCGTTTACGCTCAAAGTAATAAATAAGCCTTCGATAAATGAACCATCAGCATATTAAGTCTGAATTCTCTGATTTAATTTCTTTCAATCCAAAATATCTCAGAACTCTTTATCTGATATAAACAACTATTTGGTTATAAAATTGGCAAGTAGGTTGTTTTATTCAATTAGGTACAAAATGTTATCGCAATACTATTTCAGAAATCGATCATACACCTGATGTGATGCCTAATGGCATCAGATCTAAGGATTATTCCGGAAATCCCGTTTCGGGATCAACGGGCAATGTTCCGGCATTAAATGACGATGGTAAAATAATCAGATATTGTCGCTTCCATCATCTCATTACAATTACTTGATCACAATTTGTCAATTGCCTGAACAATTTGCCTGAATTACATGATGAAGGTAAAATAATCAGATATTGTTGCCTACATCAATTCATTACGATTACCTTTTTACAATATTGTGTTTAATTGTAATAAAATGAAATGACAGGACACAGTAAATATATGTATCAATGCGGTTCCCTCTAACACTGATTTACAATAATATAAATAAATGAAATGGTTTAACTTTATTTCAGAGATCAGTGATCCAGAAGAAAAATATTTAGATGTTACGGAGGTTCCAATAGTGAATTCACTGATGAACATTCAAGAGACGGGCGACGATGGTAAGGAAATTGTATAGTTACAATATAAAATTGCTTATCCTTTTTATGGTAGATGGTGGCAAGCGAGCAGGCTGTTCCCCTGATGTTAAGTGATTACCACCGCCTATAGACGTATACTGTGGTAGAGCCACGCAGCAGCATCGGCTGTTGCACGCATGGGCAGGCTCGTCCGGGTAAGTACCACGACCTCACAGAAGACCGGCGTAAAGTGGAAGTATAACACTTTCGTGTCTTGTCTGGTGAGTGAGGTGGCCGGAGCCCAATTTTCAAAAGGTCGTCAACGCATCTGCAACCCTCGGGTGTAACAGATGTCCATGGGCGGTGGTATTCACGTAACATCACGTGAACCGCCTGCTCGGTTGGCAACATTTCACATAGAAAAAATACAAAAATCCATGGGAATGAAGACGAATTGCCAGCCTTTATAGCGGTGAGCTTTGATTAACTCAAGATACGACCAGGGCGAGACGAGGAAGAATAATAATTCTATTTGACACAATACTTCTACGTACTAATATATACATCTTCCACTTCACGCCGGTATTCTGTGAGGCCGCGGTACTTCCGTGGACAAATCTACCCATTAGTGTTCTTTTTTTTTAGATTTCTATTTACTTCGAAAATTTTTGATTCGAAATCTACTCAAGCTGCTGCGAGCCTGACCACAGTTACATTACATTAAGCGGTTTGATTTACAATTTAGGCTTGCGATTTGGTTACATATTCGTACACGTGTTCAAATATCGAAACATTCAGATTGGTTGATACAAATGAAAACATGATATTTTATTAGAAATCGATCTAACACTTATCTCCGCGGCCAATGGCAAAGTATTTGCAAAAGATCCTGTTTCCAGTGCATCAAATGATTCCCCGGGCTTAAAAGACGAAGGTAAATAATGAGATATAGTTGTTTCCATCTTTACATTTACTTTATTGGTTTACTGTGTTATATTGCAAAAGACACGAAACGAAATGAGTTAATGAAAACATTGAGATTTATTTAATTACTAGCTGCTTCCCGCGACTACGTCTGCGTAGTATAGGCTGAAGGCGTAACATTCAGACCGAAAGACAAATATACATAAAAATATGTATATAAGTTTTGGTCTATGTCTTATTCTGATGTATAAGCTATATTATTGTAAAGTTTCATTAAAGACCTAAATCATCCATCCATACAAACTTTCGCGTTTATAATATTAGTAAGGATTAGTAAGGATAAAACATTCGATAGATAAACTTCTATCTATACTTTACATATGATTTTTACCGAGGAATGTAATAAGTTGTAAGTGTAAAATTACAATCTGTTTAAGAACGAAATGGAAAAATTATTATTAATCAAGAGTTATTATAGTATACACGAATATTTAAGCGACTAACAAACACTACTCTAATATACTCAAATATTCTATATTATAAAATTTTATGGTTACGAAATTATGTTATATCAATTTATTATATATTGTTAATGTTATGTTTAAAAATAATTAAATTAATATTAAGTTATATGGACATTGCACGCTTAATTGTAAAAAAAAGTAATTGTATTTTAATTCTAATTATTTAATGCTAATTGTATTTAAGTCTTAACATTTTTTTTTACTATTGCTATGCCCTAGTTACTTAATTTTAAATCTCTAACACCTAAGCTACATTGTGGAATGCAAATAAAGAATAAAAAAAAAAAGAATAAGTCTTCGATAAAAGAACCATCAGCATATTAATACAGAATTTTCATATCAGGTTTTAATAATAAAGATATCAATCCAATAATGTAATATATCCAATAATATATGTATAAAGCTATATATATTATAATCCAATAATATATGTATAAGGCTTGTAAGATTGAAACTATTATCATCAATTGTTGTGTTATAAATTTGGTAGGTATTTTTATACAGTGTGTCGTTACCAACACGACAATAAATGAATACACATATAGAGGATAACTTTTTAAAATTGTATCAATAATTTCTCAATATGCTAACGGTTATTTTACCGAAGACTTGTACCTTCACAAAAAAAAATATCTTGTCAGTTAGTCAGTCAGTTAGTGTCGTTACAACCGCGACAATAAATGAACACACATATAGAGAATAACTTTATAAAGTTATATCAAACATTTGCATTCTTTAAACATCAATATTTACAGAGTTATTAAAATTTCCAAAACAAAGTATTTCAGAACCCCCACACAACCCCTCCAACACCCTAAATAAACTCTAAAGTAAAGTTCATTTGTAAAGGTCACAAAGTATTTGAATGGGTTGAATGAATTTAAAAGAGACAAAACATACTGTTAGAAGGAGAGGCTTGTAATGCGACGCCGTGGCAACGAATGAATGAATCAGTCAGTTGTAGTTGTATAGGATGTTACAAATTTTGTTTCTTTTTTATTTAATTAGTTTGTTTGAAAAATATTTTTTTTAATTATGGATTTTTTTTAACGTCAATATTTTTTTATGGTTATTGGCAAGTAGCGTTAGACGTGTGTTCATTTATTCTCGCGGTGGTAACGACACCCTGTATTAGTCGGTACGTAATCTTAACTCGATACCATTTCAGAAATCGATCTTACACCTGACGTGGTGGCTAATGGCAATAGCCCCACGGATTTTCCCGGATATCCCGAATCGATCTCAACAAACAATTGTCCCGAATTAAATTCTGTGGAAGACCCCAGCATTCCGTGGAAAAGAGAGCAAGTGTACCGCTGGGGCGACTGGATTATCACGTCCGACAATCGCCTATATCGAGCGGTGAACACCTAGTGGTCAGGTAACTCAGTAGTTCTATCTAAAATCAGAAAAGGAAAAAGCATTTTTTTCAAACATTCTCCCTTGCATGCTTTGCGGTGGTAACTTACTTACGAGCGTATTAATTTTTATGTAGAATTTTGATGTTTCATAAGAACGCGCAAGCGTCGTTGTATATATTTTGAATTTGAGTTTGGATTTGACTGTAGGATAACATTATCCTGTGTAAGGACATTTTACACATGTAAACTTCATGTTGACAAACGCCCTTATCTGATAGAAGTTTTTAAATTTTATTATAGTGCTTTTACTACTGCACTTACTACTTTTCAAAAAATTTTAACCCTTATCTGTTGGTCACGCAAGGTCTCGTGCGGGAATCGAACTAACCACCCCCGTCGACGAAGCTTATACCGTTTTAACTGCGCCACGGTGGCATATATTCATCTTGATTTCCATCTTCTCTGTCTTATTCTGTTGGTCACCTAGGTGGGGTTGACCCAACGTGTCATGCTAGTGGTATTGGGTTGGATTTTTGGACCGGTCGCCTGCCTGAACTCAACTCACCTGGGGCAAATATCGAGACCCGGAACATTTTCTTTGTATCAAAGAAATATTGTCTGTATACAAAAATGGAACGAGAGACCTCCAGGGCTGCGAGCAATATCATAGCAATTGGGCCACCGTATCATCGCACCCTGAAATTATCTAAAGTAATGAAGGTTTTGATAATCAGCGATTTATTATTTGTTATTCGAAAATCATCAATAGATTCGGTTAATATTTCTTAAAAATAAAAATTAAAGTGGCGTTGATAAAACTTCCGCTATGAGTGGAGAAGATTTTTATTATGAGTTGGATGAGATTTTTTAGACGAAGTACATACTTTGACATAATGGTGATTGAGCATTCCATAATTCAAAAAAATATTAAAATTTATTTTGACAAGAAATAATCAGAAAAATATCAATTCAAACATTGTTTGTTTATCCCGTTAGGAGTGGTCACCCTATTGATAAGCGGTTTAGCAATTATGCTTTCAGCGAAAAGTTTTAGTGCTCGTGAATAAGTTACTGTATTGAGACGGTTAGGCAGGAATTTATTAAGGTGTCCATAATGTTTGAAAAAATTAAAAAAAACGTGGTCACAAATACGTACCACCAGATTCAGATTTAGAATCAAATTCTGCATATGCTCGGTTAATATGTCCTCGTCTATAAAATCACCCTGTATATTATAGTAAATCACCCTGTATATATATTACCTTCTCCACGGACTTGTTTGGAAGTTCACCTGATGTTAAGTGTTAGCTGCTGCCCATGGACATTTGCAACAAACGCGTTGCCACCTTTCAATAAAAGTGGCCCCCCCGCTACCTCACTCGCCAGACGAAACTTCACGAATCTTTGAAATGTTTTTTTGTTATTATTTCGAAAATCACACGGAGAAATCACGGAAAAATCGTGGAAAAATCGCGGAGATTTCCTTCACCGCGGAGCACGTGATAAGTCAACACGGAGGCCGGCACCGGCGTTCGAACTCAGATTGCTCGACTAAAGTAAAGTAAAATAACAGCCTATACATGTCCCACTGCTGGGCAAAGGCCTCCTCTATACAGAGGGTATCAGGGCATAGTCACCGCGCGGCCCCCCTGCGGATTGGCGGACTTCACATAAATCTTCGAAATATATTTTTTTTTGTAATTATTTCGAAAATATGCAGGTTTCCTCACGATGTTTTCCTTCACCGCGGAGCACGTGACGACCCGAATGGCGTAGTCGGTAGTGTACCTGCCTCCTGCGCCAGAGGGTGTGGGTTCGATCCCCACTACTGGAAAAATGTTGTGTGATGAGCATAGTGTTTTTCTAGTGTCTGGGTGTTTATGTATGTATAATGTGTATTTATTTACAAAAGAAAAGTATGTTTAAGTATGTCTATCAGTTTTCTAGTACCCAGAGTACAAGCATTGCTTAGTTTGGGACTAGAGAACGTTGTGTAAAAAGAATGTGTCCTAATATTTATTTATTTATTTATCATTTATTGAACTATGACGGCTTTTTCATACACTTACGCGCGGTTTGAAACACCGATCATCGTCAAGTAATCAGCTGTCAAATGGCTTTTCAAATGTCATTTGCGTTGCCAAAAGGATGGTTAAACTCTTTGAATTGATCATTCCGATCATTGAGAAGATCATTCTTGTCAATTCAAAGAGTTTAACCATCCTTTCGGTAACTAAAATCAAATTTGATAAGCCATTTGATAGCTGATTGACATCTACGTTAACTTCTGATATTTTCTTGTATTTTAATAAATATAGAACGCATCTATTGCTATTTTTTGTATAACAAATAATAAATCTTTGTTATCACAATCATTACTTTTGATTTTAGGTACAATTAAAGTAATGGAATATAAAAATATTATTTGATTTTAGGTACAATTAACGTAATACAATATAAAAATATTATTTTCGTATCGCAGTATTTCAAAAAGTGTTAATTAAATATTTACAAATTTATCGTGAACACATTTGAAATTAATTAATTCTTGAACATTTTCTTTTGCAGACTGAAATACTAGCAGACCTGGCGTGTGGATTTTTTTAAGGATAATATGAATTATTTAATAGTAAATAAAGTGCCATAAAGACCATAACGGCCCACCTGAGGAGTTTAGACATTTAAGTAGTTTTTAGCGAATCAATTAAACTTCTACCTCATGAAAACAGGTGTATATTATTTCAATTTATTATTATACTAGCGACCCGCCCCGGCTTCACACGGGTGCAATGTATTATACTATTTATTTTTATTTATTTATACGCATCTAGCCAGCACTTCAGTGCCATCCCACCTGATGGTAAGTGGCGATGCAGCCTTTGATGGTAAGCACGCTAGCTCAGTAAAAACCTATTCACTCTTGCCTTGAAGACGCCTACGTTGTAATCGGACGGAAAGACGGACGCCGGCAGGTTGTTCCATTTCTTAGCTGTACAGATGATAAATGATGAAGCAAATCGCTTGGTTCTTGTTCTGAGAACGTCGACAGCATGATGGTGGAGTCTCGCCGAACGCCTAGTTGTCCGATGATGGAAAGGGGCAGGAGGAATCAAATCATGCAACTCCAACGCACACTCTCCAAAATGCATCCTGTAGAAGACCGAGAGGCTGGCTACTCTGCGCCTGTGCTCAAGGCCAGTAAGGTTGGTTCTAACCAAGTTACGGTCACCAATAAGCCTTTCCGCACGTCTCTCCATTGAGTCCAAGGCAGCTAGATGGCATTTGGCAGCCCCAGCCCAGATATGACAACAGTACTCCACACACGATCGGACTTGAGCTTTGTATAGCGTAAGAAGCTGTCCCGTTGTGAAGTACCGTCGCACCTTTGCAAGGACACCTAACTTCCTTGCAGCTGCCCTGGCTTTAGACTCAATGAACCGCCCAAAGTTGAGGTTTGAGGATATTTCCACTCCCAACAACTGAAGGCGGTCGGTATACTCCATATACATATAAACCTTCCCCTTGAATCACTCTGTCTAGTAAAAAAACCGCATCAAGGGGTCCGTTGCGTAGTTTTAAAGGTCTAAGCATACATAGGGACAGACAGCGGGACGACTTTGTTTTATACTATGTAGTGATAGCTCCATCTTAGTGTACGAGCGATGTTGTACGAATGAGGGAAAGGGCGAATGCGGCGTTAATATCTGTGGAATAGCACGACGTTTTAATTCGTGTTGAATAAAGTCAAAGTCAAAATTTCTTTATTCAACATAGGCTTATTTTAAGCTCTTATTGAACGTCAAAAACTACCACCGGTTCACTAAACTAGACCTGCAAGAGAAGAACCGGCAAGAAACTCTGCGGTCATATATGTATTTTTTTTTAACTATTTAAGTATACACACAAAATTATTTTAGTATAATTTAGCAGGAGCCAGGGGACTTGCAAGTGCAGAGCAAGAGTCATTTCCACACATCCTTGTCCTCAATGTATTCCTAGACATTATAATAAGCCCTTTCCATTAAGGTGGCTTTTACAAAATGTTTGAAATTATTTACACTTAATTGTTTGTGGATGTCACCCATTCTATTATAGTAGTACATCTAGTTAGTACATCTACCAAGAAACGATTTCCTGGTTTTAGCTAGTCTAAACCTCGGTATTTCCAACGTGTCACCACCGCCCCCAATATTAAAAAATAGATGTTAAAGTGGTATATTTCTGCGTTTCGTGTAGCGAGGTAGCCGGGCCCACACGATTAACAGGTGGCAACGCATCTGCAACCCTACATGTGTTGCAAATGTCCTAGGGCGGCGGTTATCACTTAGATTCAGGAAACCACCAGCTCATTTGCACCTTCTCACAGTAAAAAAAACGTATAACAAATATGAGATCCATTCTAAAATGCAATTTTATATCCATATAGCTGTATCCGTACCTTTTGCTTAATAATTTATGATTGTGTAATTGTACTCTGTGACTACCCTAGATTTTAACACGTTTAAAAATATTTGCAATAGTTTTATGGAGTTGTAATAATAAATTATTAATCACATTTTTAAAGCAATGTAATTTTCATGGTAACGCTAATGTTGATGTTAACGCGAATGTTGATGTTGAATGGTGGAATTCTTGAGTTCTTCGTCAAAGATATTTCAACAGAGCGATTAAAATACTATCTTGTATTACTTCAACATATTGTTAATATAACATAATATATAATTAATCGAAGTATTAATACGCGAAGCGAAAACTTTGTTCCCCTTTTTACGAAAATCACGGACGGAAGTATATGAAATTTCCCACACTTATAGTTTATATAGAGGAGTGTAGAATGATATTTTTTTTAATAATGCATAAAAATACATTAAATCAATACAGAAAACATTACACACACTACCATGCATTAGTCACACACACGCATATAAAATCTTTTGTTTATTCGTAGTCTTTGGTCAAATAAACTCTTTGGTCGTAAAACCAGCCTGGATAAAAAATATAGTTAATATC